TTTGGACCATTTTTGGCTTTGTAATGAACAAAATACTGATATTTTAGGCTCGGAATCAAGTATACGACCTTTTGACAGCAGAGAGATACGATTTTTTGCCGCTTTTTTAACTGTAACTTTATCAAAACAAGCGGCACGTCTAAAACAATTACTGTTTTTTGCAGCTGACAACCAAAACTTAAAACGCCCATACTTACTTTTACCATGGTTGTTCTAATTTTTTACTGCGAGAGCTGAGTTAGTGACTAAAATATTAAAAACCCATTTTTTTGACAGAAATTTTGAATATTACTTCCGGTTTTCCAGCTCTATCTTGGTCAAAACAAGACTTACAGCCAAGAGAACGACTGTTTTGTGCTGCTAACGACCATCACTTACCACCCCTATCACTCGTTTTTCGATTTTGAGAAAATGAATTTTTGCTCGAATTTTGCATTTTTATAAGGGGTACCATCATCAAAATTTGCGAAAAATTGAAAAAATTGAAGTGTTTCAGATTTGAACGCAACCCGAATGGGAATGATAGCAATCAAATTACGAGGCCTTCGAGATATGACATTCCATGTTTGGACCATTTTTGGCTGTGTAATGAATAAAATACTGATATTTTAGGCTCGAAATCAAGTATACGACCTTTTGACAGCAGAGAGATACGATTTTTTGCCGCTTTTTTAACTGTAACTTTATCAAAACAAGCGGCACGTCTAAAACAATTACTGTTTTTTGCAGCTGACAACCAAAACATAAAACGCCCATACTTACTTTTACCATGGTTGTTCTAATTTTTTACTGCGAGAGCTGAATTAGTGACTAAAATAATAAAAACCCATTTTTATGACAGAAATTTTGAATATTACTTCCGGTTTTCCAGCTCTATCTTGGTCAAAACAAGACTTACAGCCAAGAGAACGACTGTTTTGTGCTGCTAACGACCATCACTTACTACCCCTATCATTCGTTTTTCGATTTTGAGAAAATTAATTTTTGCTCAAATTTCGCATTTTTATAAGGGGTACCATCATCAAAATTTGCGAAAAATTGAAAAAATTGAAGTGTCCCAGATTTGAACGCAACCCGAATGGAAATGATAGCAATCAAATTTCGAGGCCTACGAGATATGACATTCCATGTTTGGACCATTTTTGGCTGTGTAATGAATAAAATACTGATATTTTAGGCTCGAAATCAAGTATACGACCTTTTGACAGCAGAGAGATACGATTTTTTGCCGTTTTTTAACTGTAAATTTGTCAAAACAAGCGGCACGTCTGAAACAATGACTGTTTTATGCAGCTGACAACCAAAACTTAAAACGCCCATACTTACTTTTACCATGATTGTTCTTATTTTTTACTGCGAGAGCTGAGTTAGTGACTAAAATATCAAAAACCCATTTTTTTGACAGAAATTTGGTATATTACTTGCGGTTTTACACCTCTATCTTGATATCTTGATATTATAAGATATGACATTCCATGTTTGGACCATTTTTTGCTTTGTAATGAACAAAATATTAAAATTTATTCTCGGAATCAAGTATACGACCTTTTGACAGCAGAGAGATACGATTTTTTGCCGCTTTTTTAACTGTAACTTTATTAAAACAAGCGGAACGTCTAAAACAATTACTGTTTTATGCAGCTGACTACCAAAACTTGAAACGCCCATACTTACTTTTACCATGACTGTTCTTATTTTTTACTGCGAGAGCTGAGTTAGTGACTAAAATATTAAAAACCCATTTTTTTGACAGAAATTTTGAATATTACTTCCGGTTTTCCAGCTCTATCTTGGTCAAAACAAGACTTACAGCCAAGAGAACGACTGTTTTGTGCTGCTAACGACCATCACTTACCACCCCTATCACTCGTTTTTCGATTTTGAGAAAATTAATTTTTGCTCAAATTTCGCATTTTTATAAGGGGTACCATCATCAAAATTTGCGAAAAATTGAAAAAATTTAAGTGTCCCAGACTTGAACGCAACCCGAATGGGAATGATAGCAATCAAATTTCGAGTCCTACGAGATATGACATTCCATGTTTGGACCATTTTTGGCTGTGTAATGAATAAAATACTGATATTTTAGGCTCGAAATCAAGTATACGACCTTTTGACAGCAGAGAGATACGATTTTTTGCCGCTTTTTTAACTGTAACTTTATCAAAACAAGCGGCACGTCTAAAACAATTACTGTTTTTTGCAGCTGACAACCAAAACTTAAAACGCCCATACTTACTTTTACCATGGTTGTTCTAATTTTTTACTGCGAGAGCTGAATTAGTGACTAAAATAATAAAAACCCATTTTTATGACAGAAATTTTGAATATTACTTCCGGTTTTCCAGCTCTATCTTGGTCAAAACAAGACTTACAGCCAAGAGAACGACTGTTTTGTGCTGCTAACGACCATCACTTACTACCCCTATCACTCGTTTTTCGATTTTGAGAAAATTAATTTTTGCTCAAATTTCGCATTTTTATAAGGGGTAAATTTGCGAAAAATTGACAATATTGAAGTGTCCCAGACTTGAACGCAACCCGAATGGAAATGATAGCAATCAAATTTCGAGGCCTACGAGATATGACATTCCATGTTTGGACCATTTTTGGCTGTGTAATGAATAAAATACTGATATTTTAGGCTCGAAATCAAGTATACGACCTTTTGACAGCAGAGAGATACGATTTTTTGCCGCTTTTTTAACTGTAACTTTATCAAAACAAGCGGCACGTCTAAAACAATTACTGTTTTATGCAGCTGACAACCAAAACTTAAAACGCCCATACTTACTTTTACCATGACTGTTCTTATTTTATACTGCGAGAACTGAGTTAGTGACTAAAATATTAAAAACCCATTTTTTTGACAGAAATTTTGAATATTACTTCCGGTTTTCCAGCTCTATCTTGGTCAAAACAAGACTTACAGCCAAGAGAACGACTGCTTTGTGCTGCTAACGACCATCACTTACTACCCCTATCATTCGTTTTTCGATTTTGAGAAAATTAATTTTTGCTCAAATTTCGCATTTTTATAAGGGGTACCATCATCAAAATTTGCGAAAAATTGAAAAAATTTAAGTGTCCCAGATTTGAACGCAACCCCAATGGGAATGATAGCAATCAAATTTCGAGGCCTACGAGATATGACATTCCATGTTTGGACCATTTTTGGCTTTGTAATGAACAAAATACTTATATTTTAGGCTCGGAATCAAGTATACGACCTTTTGACAGCAGAGAGATACGATTTTTTGCCGCTTTTTTAACTGTAACTTTATCAAAACAAGCGGCACGTCTAAAACAATTACTGTTTTATGCAGCTGACAACCAAAACTTAAAACGCCCATACTTACTTTTACCATGACTGTTCTTATTTTATACTGCGAGAACTGAGTTAGTGACTAAAATATTAAAAACCCATTTTTTTGACAGAAATTTTGAATATTACTTCCGGTTTTCCAGCTCTATCTTGGTCAAAACAAGACTTACAGCCAAGAGAACGACTGTTTTGTGCTGCTAACGACCATCACTTACCACCCCTATCACTCGTTTTTCGATTTTGAGAAAATTAATTTTTGCTCGAATTTCGCATTTTTATAAGGGGTTCCATCATCAAAATTTGCGTAAAATTGAAAAAATTGAAGTGTCCCAGATTTGAACGCAACCCCAATGGGAATGATAGCAATCAAATTTCGAAGCCTACGAGATATGACATTCCATGTTTGGACCATTTTTGGCTTTGTAATGAATAAAATACTGATATTTTTGGCTCGGAATCAAGTATACGACCTTTTGACAGCAGAGAGATACGATTTTTGGCCGCTTTTTTAACTATAACTTTATCAAAACAAGCGGCACGTCTGAAACAATGACTGTTTTTTGCAGCTGACAACCAAAACTTGAAACGCCGATACTTACTTTTACCATGACTGTTCTTATTTTTTACTGTGAGAGCTGAGTTAGTGACTAAAATAATAAAAACCCATTTTTTTGACAGAAATGTTGAATATTACTTCCGGTTTTCCAGCTCTATCTTGGTCAAAACAAGACTTACAGCCAAGAGAACGACTGTTTTGTGCTGCTAACGACCATCACTTACCACCCCTATCACTCGTTTTTCGATTTTGAGAAAATTAATTTTTGCTCGAATTTCGCATTTTTATAAGGGGTTCCATCATCAAAATTTGCGAAAAATTGAAAAAATTGAAGTGTCCCAGATTTGAACGCAACCCCAATGGGAATGATAGCAATCAAATTTCGAGGCCTACGAGATATGACATTCCATGTTTGGACCATTTTTGGCTTCGTAATGAATAAAATACTGATATTTTAGGTTTGGAAGTATACGACCTTTTGACAGCAGAGAGATACGATTTTTTGCCGCTTTTTTAACTGTAACTTTATCAAAACAAGCGGCACGTCTAAAACTGTTACTGTTACTGTTTTATGTAGCTGACTACCAAAACTTAAAACGCCCATACTTACTTTTACCATGATTGTTCTAATTTTTTACTGCGAGAGCTAAGTTAGTGACTAAAATTTCAAAAACCCGTTTTATTGACAGAAATTTGCAATATTACTTAAAATATATTGGTTAAAACAAGACTTACAGCCAAAAGAACGACTGTTTTGTGCTGCTTACGACTAACACTTACCGCCCATATCACTTATTTTTCGGTTTTGAGAAAATCAATTTTTGCTCAAATTTCTCATTTTTTATGGGGAACCATCATCAAAAATTTGAAAATGGGAAAAATTGAAGTGCCCCAGATTTAAAAGCAAATCACTTGGAAATAATTGCAATCAAATTACGAACCCCAGACGTCCATTGACAGCAGTTTTTTAGCTTACTTTTTTATGCAACTGACTACCGAAACTAGGAACCCCTATACTAATAATACTGGCTAAAAAATCAAAAAACAGTTTTTCGATTTTGAGAAACATTAAAAACATTACCAGTTATAAGCATTTGAAATGACTGACTTCGTCTTACATACATTAACATATACGTTTATTTTTAATACGAAAAGTTTACAAAATTTAAGGTTTAACCACAGTCAGTTGATAAGACGAATCTTCAGTTAGTTTTAGCTTATCTTACGTGCTCATACACGGACTATTAGTAATTCGCCAGAAAACAGAGCAGATAAAGAACTTCAAGCACTACGGCCGTAATCTAAACAGTATTTGGAATATTAAGCCAAGATAACTTGCACAGGTTTTAAAGTCACTCGTGTCCCGACGAAATGCTTATTTGGCGGCTTTCTCAGCGGCCAATTTCTCCTGGAATCGGCGTCGCCGTTGTGCGATGTACACCACCCAGATGAAAGAGATAATGGCCATGCTAATCGACCGGAACATCGGTGGTACGTATGCGAAGTTAAGGTACACAAACAGGGAAAGGTACTGCCAGTTTGCCTTCAGCAGGGGCCAGTAAAGCTTCTCCACGTTCTTTACCGCCGTGTTGGGGGAGTTACCCTAAAAAATATAAAAGATTATAAAAAGGTTTTAGAATATGATTTATAAGCATTAAAAACAATGCCACTTAAATATGAACAAAACCTTAAACCACACAGTTGAGCTAAAGCACTTCCTAATTCTTACCTCGAATAGGGACAAAAAAAACAGGGAAAGTGCCTGGTAGATAGGAGCATAGACCAGTCGCTCGGACAAGAACAGGAAGAACCTTCTGAAGCGCACATCGTGGTTGAAGAGTCGCTCCACAGTCGTGTAGAAATAGTGCGGTACACTTCCACCGAAGACCAGGCCAAAGAGTCCATAGGCGAAAACACTATGCTGGTTGAGGGTCTTGGCCCCCGCCAAACGCTGGGAGGTAACATTCGCCGAGGTGGCCAGAACGCATCTGCAATCAGATGAAACACAGGGTTAACGGTGGAATTTAATGAAAAGGAATTATATGTATGTACATACGCCGTGATGGACTTGGTGCGGACCGGATGGTTAAAGAGCTGCTCCAGATAAGTGCCGAAGAGCGAGTACAGGGGCTTCGAAAGAACCATGTTGCGGGTTTAATAAAAGTGAACCTGGAGTAAAGTGCGTATAATGCAGGTTAAAGTGCAAAGTGCAACTAGCCACACTGATAACAGCGCGAAACCGGTTCCCTGCGTTTACCTAAGAACTCCAAACGTCTTCACCGCCGATTAATAACTGAGAGTCTACCAACACCTGTAGACCTATGTGGTTACTAACTTAAATCTAATCCAGATCATATCGATATAATGGTTGGATCTATCGAAATTGTTATCGATAAGACGAGACAGCTGGTCACTCTGCGACAATCGTCATTCCATTAATTTCGGCATAATTTTCCAGTCCTAGTATAAAAAGAAGTAACAGTCTTGAAGATTCAGCGTTCTTTTGACTACGATGGAGTTTCCACCTTGCCCTCCCTCGTTAAAGTCAATACAGCACTTCCTGAAGTTGGCCCAGGAACACGACACACGGGATGTAGTCATAGCCTATTGGGCTAGACTCTAGTAAGCACCTACATATTGTTTTTCCTTGTTCGTATTTAATAATTTTGTGTCTTTCTGAATCTAGTGCCCTCCAGGTGGGCCTCAAGGCCTCCACCCAAACGGGAGAGGAAACTAAGTTACTACTCGGTAAGCGAAAAACCAATACGCATACTTCTCGCCTATGACTCATACGTGTTTTGTTTTGATTTTCCCTGCAAAATCAGGCATTATGGACTGGCTAGAACAGATGAAAAAACAGTATGCCGATAATGAGGCCGTGACTAATGAGGTGGCTGCCCAGGCTCATATTGAAAACTACGCGCTGAAATTATTCTTGTATGCCGATAAACAGGATCGCGAGGAGAACTTTGGCAAGTAAGTTTCGTCAAAAAAGGGCTTCCGAATTTATTTCCTTGATTAATATGTTTGTGGTTTCTCCACAGAAATGTCGTTAAGGCCTTCTACTCCAGTGGGGTGCTCTACGATATACTTCAAACCTTCGGGGAGTTGAGCGAGGAGGCGCTGCACAACAGAAAGTATGCCAAGTGGAAAGCAGCCTACATTCACAATTGTCTGAAAAATGGTGAGACACCCATTCCCGGTCCCTTGCCTGATGACGATGACGAGGCTGAGCTCGAGGGGGCGAATGCTAACGCCTCGGCAGACACTTCGCCCGAGGATGTTGCGGGAGCAGGTGCTCCTGTACCTTACCAACCACCAGAGCCAGAACCACAGCCGCCTGCTCCCTCTTCGCCGACGGCTTCAAGCGTTGTACCTCCCACTGCCGAGGAGGTGTTGAACAATCCGAACAAATTGCCCAGTCCGCCAGTGGATGAGGAAAAGCCAGGTGGTTTTGTGCCCTACGTGCCGACTGCTCAGCCCAATCCGGCCACGGCGGCCACCATTTATCAACCCATTGTACCCGTAGCCGGAGTCCAGATCACTCCTGACCAAATGATAACCGCTCAGAAGTATTGCAAGTACGCCGGAAGTGCCCTCAACTATGACGATGTGAAGACCGCTATCGAGAACCTGCAGAAGGCCCTTAAACTTCTGAGCACAGGATCCGAGTAGGACTTACATATATGTATTTAGGAGTTATTTCCTAGCCACAGTTATAGCTTAGAGCACCACTATACCAATTAATCTCCCGCTTAACACGCGTTGCGAAACGAAGTAAAAGGAAATTCAGATTGACTGACGTTGGATAATTAATTTTATATGTGTATGAGTTGTTCAAATTTATTAAAATTGTTTCTAAAAGTCGTATTTTAGATGGTTTCGACTAAGTGCCCGTTAGGAAAAGGATTTGATTACAATTGTGTTTTGTTGTGGTCGTGTCTTTATGCCGCGGCTCTACAATTTTAGTTAATATCTCTCGCCATTACATACAATATATTAGTTTTGTATACGATAATTATTTGGCACCAAAGTGAAAACATGAATTTCGATTTGCTAGAATGATGTGAATGATTTTTTGACCCAAATATAGGCGCGCCAATCGCTTTCGAACCCAACTGAAGGTGCTAAAACAAAGCTGGATCAGTGAATGACTATGAGTAAGTGATGCCTTTGGAGCAGGCGCCTAATCCTGCTTGACTCCGTTCGCAGGAGGCTGCGTGGTCGTTGAGGCCTCGTCCTGGAGTCGGGCAGTCTGATACCAGACCACCAGGCGGCCGCCCAGCATGAAAGTGAACACGAGCGCCGGTCCTGAACGCTCGAAGGGATCACTTACCATCCAGTGCTGGTAGATGCCCAGCAACATCAGCACCAGCAGCGTAATGTTGGCCGCATTCTTGACTTTATCTGTGGATAAAGAATGACTCACATTAATTAAATATATTAATATTAATACTTGTTTATTCTTACGATAGGGAATCAGAGCCATGGCAAGACCGCAGACGATCTCCAGGATGCCAACGGTGCGGCGGTACCATTTCGAGGGGATCTTTACTCCGAAAAGGGCAGTCAGCGGAAATACCTTAGCATACTTCACGTATTCTGTGCGCTGCAATTCAGGAGAGGAAATCGAATATGACTTCTCTGCAGCACCGGGATATAATTAATCATGGCTAGAAACCCCCAGAGGAATTTGCTCCGCCTAGCGGCCCAGCGGAAGGCAGTGCAGCCCGTTTATTTTTAAATGGAAGCAAGCTTTTCTTTTTGTCACATTCGTATGTTATTCTCTGTGTTTTTTTGTGTTGGCATAGTTGGCCACAAGTGTTTGTGGTAATGCGAAGGTAATTACACCACTGTGAGCGGCAAACACAACAAATATTTCGAAATTCAAATGTCATACCTTTGGCAAAAAAGATATTCAAAACATGAGAATTGATAGTAAAATGGCGCGTAACGAATATAATGCCAATTTAAAAACATACTCTGAATCGTATTATGTAGGTAACAAGTTTTAACAGGATAGCAAGATAAATCTGAAAAAATACTCGACGGAAATTGAAACTAGGCTCCGTTTTAACATGAATTTGACATTCCTTATTTTCATTTTTGAAATATACATTTTATCTCTCGATCCACCCTATTGCTTATATATAAAGCAAATTTGTACAACATGAATTGATTGAGAAGTATACGTCATGGTAGTTTGTGTGAGTGAAATTGTTTACATTGGTATGCGAAATATTTTTATGGTAATGAAAACGAAATCTTTGGGCGTTGTTTTTACAAAAGTAAACAAAAAATTCACATTAACAGCTGTTCTATAAATCTTTGAGCTTTTTCTAGTTAACTACGGATGTTTCTAAATTGTTTGGGGGTCTTCAAAACAATTTACAAACAAGGTGATTAATAATTAGTTTTTGAGGTTTCGGGCTTTTTAAAATTTCGATAGAAAACAGAAGTTTGGTCATTTGAATGAAATTACGATCTATTCGAATAATAAATATGTAATTAATTATATAGGAAATTAAAAACTATGTAATTTTCAAGAGAATTTAATTAATATATCTTTTTTACTTTTGAAATAATAAAGCATATATTTTTCCCAAAATATCTTTGAAGATCATAGAGCTTCGCAACGTCAACGATTGGCATTGATGGGGTCGAGTTCAATGCCCATTAGTCAGTCATATTTCCGAAAGGCGTTCTATTTTGGGACTTTTCTTTAAATGTTTTTCCACCCCTTTACATAAGAAAGTTCCATTTTATTGAACCAATTGACTTAAAAATGCACTTCCAAAGGGACTTGGGAAAAATCGATGGGCTGCACCCCACCAGACCACAGAGGAAACAAAAAAGCTAAAACTCCAGCTGTATCGATTTTCCACATACCAGGTCCTTGTACAGATCCTTGCTGATGTGCGGCGTCAGCTTGAGGGTGCCTACGAAGATAAAAAACAGGCCTAGCAGGACCGAGAGGCTTTTCAGCACGATCGTGTTGGATGCAGGAGGCATCTTGACCGATTTATGGGTAAACACTCGTGTGTGTATAAACTATATATCCCAAGAGTGCCGCTGGGGGTTCGAAGGGGCCGGAGTTCACTGGGACCCCCTAACCAATACAACACTCTACCAAAACACACCGGTCGCTAATTTTAGACCAATCTCGCAGCTTTTCGTGCCGATTCGGACGGTGCGGAAAAGTACGCGACCACCAACAAATTGAAGCACACAATCCGAATGTTTTCAAATCGCTGCGCGGTATGTATAATTTTATGAATTCTTAGTCCGCGGTCTTCCCTTCTATATATTTCATTTTCACTCGGCGTCTTTCCGCTTTCAGTTTCGCGTTTGAAAAGAGACTAATTCAGATTGAGATTCAGACCAGTTGCAAAGTTTATTTCGGCAGCATCCCAAACGGAATGGCGGAAAATCAATATATGCTCACATGCCCAGTGCTCTGCCCGAATCGAGAGTTAAGAGAGGACAGCCGGCCCACCCCGAAGAGCATGGCGTTTCGGCAGCTGGACCCACTCCTCCTCGTCTTCCTCGGACGGTCGGGTGGTGGTTGTTCCGAAACTGGCGCAATTAAGGCCAAAGACCCCGGCCTGCAACCCTTAAGGAGCCCCAGATAAACAATCATTAAGTGAACATGAGTTTTCGGCAAATGCATGAGACACAAAACTAGGAATCTTCTTTAAAATATAGAGTATAGAAATTTGTATTGCTCTATTTATAATATTTAATACATTAATTCAGAATGAAAGTTTGATTTTTTAATATTATTAATTTATTCTAAAGTTTAATTAGATCTCACTTAGTTTTACAAACTTAAATATACCACTACCATCCCATAGGTCCTCCAGGAAAACCAGCGCCCCTGCGATGGTGATCCTCCGGTGGAGTCTGTGGGGTATTGTAAATTCTCTTAGATTCAGCCATGCGTTGGTTGTAACTCTGTATTTGCTCCTGGAGCTGGGCATCCTCTTGCTGGGCTCGTTGTTCGTCGAACTCTAGACTGGCCACGCCATCCAGTCGTTCCAAATCCACCCATCCCCGAAACCGGACACATACTCCGTTCATGATAAAGTTGGACCGGAGATGCACTTTGCCCCGCTCCCGCTCGAAGTCGCACTCCTGTTCCTGGGCGTATGGATTGTGGTTTGCGTTGAAGTAGAGCTGTAGATTGGTGCCAGAAGCCACCATTGAGATCTCAGCATAGCCCTTACGGCAGTCGTTGATGAACCTCATCCGGCGCTCCTCTGCTGCCCGTTCCCTGTAGCCGGTATAGCGCACCTCACTCTCCCGGCTTAGTCGTCGAAAGAGCTCGTCGCTCTCAAACTTTGATCTCTGATCGGGCACCACACGAGGCATCTTGAAAATGAATCGAGGTTTGGGCTGCTCATACAAGGGCATGCCTTCGTATGGCGGAAGCATTCCATTTAAGGCTACCGCGTCTCCAAGATTCTGATGATGATGCATGGTTTCTGAAGTTAAAATGTTGACTGATATCAGTTTGGTCATTTCTCGTAATTTATACCAAATTAGTGGTGCGGGCCAGGTATTTCCTTAAAGGCGAATTTACCTGAAAAGTCGAGTTTCCCTTATATTTTATGATCCATCGATCAGGTAACATATGGAAGGAATTTTTTCAACCATCTGGAGGTCGCCAGGTATTCGTTTTATAAGAAGTATTTTTTGGGTTTAAAAATCCTGGGGATATTTTTTTGATCACAGGTAGATAAAAATCTTAAAGGATCTAATTCCTATCAAGCGATAACTCTTTTTAAGGTGTTTTACAGATTTCTATTGAAAATTTGAATTCAAAAAGCCGTTTTTGAAAGTGTTGAACAACGACTTATTTTAGTTAAATGAGCTAAAACCCAATCATGGGTTACAACTCTAGCCAAATAAAACAGCTGTTTTTTGTGTATTGAATTTATTTTAACAATTCGTTAAACATGTCGCTTGTTGCTTATGCCGCCAGTTCTGACGAGGATTCGGAAATTGAAGAAGAAAACCCGGGGTCCCAAGCCGAACTGGTTAAAGAAGCATTGGCCAATCCGAACGAATATAGCGCAACAGACGCTTCCAAAGAAGAGTCCAGAGAACAAAAATTATCCAGTGGTCACATTAGCGATGAGGACGACGATTACGTTCCCCAAGAAGTGTCATTGCAAGACTTGAAGCCTCCCACCGAAAGAGTTCTATTGACCTTACCCAAACCAAAAGTCACTGCTTCTGCTAACAACCCAGAAGATGATGATGTGGACGAGCTAGTCGCCCCCGTCTTTGCCAAACTTCCAATGCCACGAATAGCAGCATTAGGAAAAGTCATTATAGAGGAAAAGGACGATGAGTTTCTGCATAAAAAGGTGCTACCAATTGAAATAGAGAAACCTCCACCACCGCCAGTAAAGGGACGCGTAAAGATCAGTATTCCATCGCTTCGTGATTTCTCTGATGTGGACCGGGAAAAAGCTGATAAGGCTAAACACAAAATAGACAAACCAAATGTTCCCAAGGGATCGGGTCTGCTTGGTCTGCTGCCCCAGGCAAAATCAGAGCGTAACTTTTCCAAAAATTCTTCATCTGTGTCAGCAACTGCTTCAGCAAACATCACTGCTACTGCTACCTCAACGAATACTCGTATAGATGCTCGATCAACTCCAGCTTTTGTGCCCGATACAGTAAAGCAACGTCGAGCAGCCCACAATACCGAAGGTGTTGATGGCACTAAGGCGACTAAAAAGAAAAATAATGAAGGGGATGCTCTGAAACCGACAAAATCCAAGCATACAACTAAACCTACTGCCTTGGTGAATGCCAGCGATAGTGACGATGATGATGAGGATGGATCTGGAGACTTTTTCTCTCTGAACTCCGAACAAAAACTGCCTGAAGTGAGCAGCAATGAGATCAGCGCTCTAGTAGCCAAACGAGCGGCCAAAATGGTGGAGGCCAGTAGTAAATACCTCGAGGAGATTGCCGAAAAGGAAGCAGCCGAAGCAGAGACCGCCCGACTTGAGGAGGAGCAAACACTGTTAGCACAAAAGCGATACCACGAGCAGCAGCTAAACTCAGAAGCCATGGATGCACTGGTGGGCAAGAATGCTAAGCGCCGTCGGAAGGAGGCCAAGGAGATGCAGGTTATCGACATATCTGGGTCGCAGGTATTGCCCGATCGTGAGGAATGGATGCGAACAGCGCTGGCCTCGTCCACCACCTTCCAGCCTACCGGCGTTCTAACGGACGAGGAGCCAGTGGCAGGGACGCGGCGAAAGCACCAGATCACCTACCTGGCGCACAAGGCAAAGGCCAACGAAGCCGAGCTGCAGGCTATGTGGTCAGCCAACCGGCAGACCCGTCGGGCCACCCAAAGCAAATACGGCTTTTAAGTTTCCACTTTATGTACACCTAATCCTACAATATATTCTTAAATCTACTGAATCCAACCCTCGCGTTTTCCCAGCCGGCTACCCACATAAAAGATGGCGGTGCTCAGCAGTAGGATAACCGGGGCAACGGTCACATAAATGGGAATCTGTTGCGGGTACTCCAGCGTTAGGCATATCATCACTTGGGAAGAGATGGTTAGAAGTACACCGGCAATATTCCATTTGTAGAGGAAGAGGAGGTCTGTCAGGCAGGTGAGGTTGCGCCACTTGCGGATGAACTTGATGATCACGTAAATTATGATAATCACATCGAAGAACCAGAGCGGCGTGAACGTGACAAACCAATTCCAGGTGGTGCGCGGGTCTAAGCGCAGGCACAGCAAGATCAGAAAGACTAGGACGATGAACCACGTAAAAAGCGCCCGGTGTGCCAGTGTCATAATAGTAAATTATTTGTTACTTTTTCATATTGCGTTGGGAAATAAACAAAAGCGAATGCACTTTGCTCCAGTGCTGTGTAACTACTGTATATCACCTAACACAGTGGCCTTTAAAAATATTTGGATTGTGAAGATATATTCTTTAAGTTTTTAAGGGTTTATAAAACAACCTAAAACAGTTTTACCAGCCAATAAACACCGCTAAGAAAACCACAACAAAATCGAAAGAATGCTGAAAAACTTTTAACTATTTTGTTTAACTCCGTTCTTTTTAAATGTAAGTATCGATGTGCACATACTTATGGTATGCAGTTCATCTTTGCCATTGGGTGTCAACCCTGCCTACGTTGGAAAGAAGAAGATAATTGACGTGTCACAATTTCGACAATTGGTTGGTGTTTTTCATAAAATGAATTGTTGGCAATAGATTACGAGTTATTTAAAATATATTAATGCCAAGGCATCCTGTTTACACCTACTTCTTTATGTTTTGATATAGGTGACTGCCCGACCCAACCGAAAAAGGGCGCTTGAAAGAAAAGCCGACACCCAGAAGAAAAACTACTTTGAGACACCTACAGGCAAATAGAAAAAAGTGCCAACATGCTGACCAACTTCGAGTCGAAGTCGGCGCGGGTAAAGGGCCTCTCCTTCCACCCAAAACGCCCATGGATTCTGGTCAGCTTGCACAGTGGCGTCATCCAGCTGTGGGACTACAGAATGCACACGCTTCTCGAAAAGTTTGATGAGCACGACGGACCTGTGAGAGGCGTAGCCTTCCACCAGCAGATGCCTCTCTTTGTCTCCGGTGGAGACGATTACAAGATCAAGGTGTGGAATTACAAGCAGCGCCGCTGTATATTCACCCTTCTGGCTCATTTGGACTACGTCCGCACGGTGGCCTTCCATCACGAATATCCGTGGATTCTAAGTGCATCTGACGATCAGACCATCCGTATCTGGAACTGGCAGTCGCGGAACTGCATATGCGTGCTGACCGGCCACAACCACTATGTGATGTGCGCCCAATTCCACCCTACTGAGGACCAAATCGTCTCGGCATCGCTGGACCAGACAGTTCGCGTGTGGGACATCTCGGGGTTGCGAAAAAAGAATGTGGCTCCCGGTCCCGGTGGTCTAGATGATCATCTAAAGGGTCACCCAGGTGCCACAGACTTGTTTGGCCAAGCGGATGCTGTGGTCAAGCACGTGCTTGAAGGCCACGACCGAGGCGTCAACTGGGCCAGCTTCCATCCCACTCTGCCGCTGATCGTGTCTGGCGCGGACGATCGCCTAGTGAAACTGTGGCGCATGAACGAGTACAAGGCATGGGAGGTAGACACCTGCCGCGGACACTACAACAACGTGTCCAGCGTGTTGTTCCATCCGCGTCAGGATCTGATTCTCTCCAATGGTGAGGATCGCAGCATTCGTGTCTGGGACATGACCAAGCGCCAGTGCCTTTTCACATTCCGGCGGGACAACGAGCGCTTCTGGATCCTCACGGCGCATCCTACCTTGAATCTTTTTGCTGCTGGGCACGACGGAGGTGAATTAATCACTATATTTAATATATTTGATTGTATGAATCATATGTCCTTTTTTCAGGTATGGTCGTTTTCAAATTGGAGCGAGAACGTCCCGCTTATGCCGTACACGGCAACATTCTCTATTATGTAAAGGAGCGATTCCTGCGGAAACTTGATTTTACCACCACCAAGGACCAAGTGGTGATGCAGCTCCGACCAGGAAAGTCGCCTGTGTACAGCATGTCGTATAACCCGGCACTGAACGCCGTGCTGATCTGTACACGCACCAACAACTTGGAGAACAGTACGTACGACCTATGCCAGATCCCCAAAGACACCGAGAGCCAGAGCGAATCTGACAGCAAGCGCAGCTCTGGAATCACTGCCATCTGGGTGGCTCGCAATCGGTTTGCAGTACTGGATCGCAACCAGCAATTGGTTATCAAAAACTTCAAAAACGAGGTAACAAAGAAGCTTCCAACTTTCTGCGAGGAGATCTTCTATGCCGGAACGGGAATGCTGCTCATAAGGGATCCCGAGTTCGTCACTCTTTACGAAGTCCAACGACTTGTCTCAGTTGGAAGTATTAAACTGGCCAAATGCCGCTACGTAGTGTGGTCTCCAGATATGTCGCTGGTCGCACTCCTTTGCAAACATTCGGTGACTATCTGCGACCGAAGACTGCAGTACTTGTGCACTGTGCAGGAGAACTGCCGGGTGAAGTCTGGAGCCTGGGACGAGTCGGGCGTGTTTATCTACACGACCAGCAACCACATCAAGTACGCTATTACCAATGGAGACCATGGCATCATCCGTACGTTGGACCTTCCCATTTATCTGACACGAGTCAAGGGCAACCAGGTGTTCTGTTTGGATCGTGAATGCCGCACTCGCGTGCTTCACATTGATCCCACAGAGTACAAGTTTAAGCTGGCCCTGATCCAGCGCAAGTACGACGAGGTTTTGCACATGGTGAGGAATGCCCGTTTGGTGGGTCAGAGCATTATTGCCTACTTGCAGCAGAAGGGTTATCCAGAGGTGGCCCTTCATTTTGTCAAGGACGAAAAAACTCGATTTGGGCTAGCTCTGGAGTGCGGTAACATCGAAATTGCATTGGAGGCAGCTAAGGCTCTTGATGACAAAGATTGCTGGGATCGTCTCGGACAAAGTGCCTTGCTTCAAGGAAACCACCAGGTGGTAGAAATGTGCTATCAGCGGACCAAGAACTTTGACAAGCTTAGCTTTCTCTATCTGATCACCGGCAACCTGGAAAAGCTCAAGAAGATGAACAAGATCGCAGAGATCCGCAAGGATGTATCCGCCCAGTACCAGGGTGCTCTTCTTCTCGGTGACGTCAAAGAGCGGGTTAACATCCTTAAGAACTGCGGACAACTTTCGTTAGCTTATCTCACAGCCGCTACTCATGGATTTGATGAACTCACTGAATCCCTGGGCGAGTCGATTACCTCGCAAGGAAATACCCTTCCCGAAGTTAATCCCAACGCACAGTTGTTGCAACCACCCGTGCCCATTCAGCAGCTGGAGACGAACTGGCCACTTCTGTCAGTTTCTAAGGGCTTCTTCGAAGGCGCCATGGTTACCAGAGCTGGATCCAGTGCCACTGCCCGCCAGGCGCTGAACATCAACGCCGATGCTGCAGTGCTAGACGAGCACAATGGCGGAGGTGATGGCTGGGGAGCAGATGCCGATCTGGGATTAGATGATGAAGGAGATGAGGAGATGCATGATGCCCTGAGTAACGATGGAGACGGTGGAGTGGGCGGCGAGGATGGTGCCGGTTGGGATGTTGGCGATGATGATTTGGTGGTGCCTGAGGAGCTGGCCTCCAAGATCAAAGCCTCCGCGCTTGACAGCAACTATTATGCGGCTCCCAACAAGGGCTTGTCTCCTGCTCAACAATGGGCAAATAATTCCCCATTGGTGCTGGACCACGTGAAGGCTGGATCATTCGAAACCGCATTCCGTTTGCTACACGACCAGCTTGGAGTCGTAAATTTCAAGCCCTTCAAACAACTTTTCCTTCAGAACTACGCCTGCTCTCGAACGAGCTACACCGCCAATCCTAATCTGCAATCCCTAAGTGGTTACCCATTGCGAAACTTCTCCGAGTCAAACATAAAGCTGCAGCGTCCGGCAGTGGGCATCAAACTTAACGATTTGGTAGCTCGTTTGCAGGCTGGATACCAACTAACAACATATGGAAAGTTCACTGAAGCAGTGGAAAAGTTCCAATCTATCTTGATCAGCATTCCATTATTGGTGGTGGACACGAAAATGGATACGGCTGAGGCTCAGCAGCTGCTGCGGATCTGCGCTGAGTATATTGTAGGCCTGAAGATGGAGACAGTGCGCAAGAGCATGCCTAAGTCAACTCTTGAGGAGCAAAAGCGATTGTGCGAGATGGCTGCGTACTTTACACACTGCAAGCTCCAGCCCGTGCACCAGATCCTTACCCTGCGTACCGCCCTCAACATGTTTTTCAAACTGAAAAACTACAAGACGGCCGCCTCGTTTGCGCGCCGGCTTCTGGAGTTGGCTCCGCGCCCGGAAGTGGCTCAGCAAGTACGAAAAATCCTGCAGGCCTGCGAAGTGAATCCAGTAGACGAGCACCAGATGCAGTACGAGGAGTTTAACCCGTTCACAATCTGCGGCATCAGCTGGAAGCCACTGTATCGGGGTAAACCCGAGGTGACCTGTCCCTTCTGCTCTTCCTCCTACGACCCGCAGTTCAAGGGAAATCTTTGCACAGTTTGCGAGGTGAGCCAGATCGGAAAGGATAGCATTGGACTACGCATTTCCAATTTGCAATTCCGTTAGGACGGAAAGCTTGTCGCTTTTTAAAAATGTGTCCCCCACGCCGAGCGAGCCCTTAGTTTAGTTTTACACGATTCTTGCTTGTTATATATAAAGTTCAGTATCTGTATATTATAATGGTATAAAATCAAATGAATTAACTAGTTTTCTTAAAATTTCATGAAGAGTGGGGTGTTTAAATATAAATTGTTGTAAAGGCTTGACTGGAGAAGAGATTTCAGTTTTGGAAAATGCGCCCAATGTTTTAGCAAAAACAAATAATATACTATTTTTGGGTCTACCTCTTCAAAAGTATTAATCTATTCAATACCTATCTTAATCGCTCTGAATCACAACGGAAAGCCCAAAAATAACACTGAGGTATCGATTAGTAGTTATGTATTTTAATTAAAGATACGACACTAATTCCACACTAAGTTGTAAGTATAATACCATAAAAGCATACGTAAAGTAAGCATTACATCTAACACTAATCTAGGAGCATAATTATTCGAGCGTGTCTAACGTAATCGTATTGAAATCTCGCAAAGGGAGGCCCTCCTAAAGGGCTCGGAGCATTCTCAGTTGTCCATGAAGTATTGAGTATTCGCGAAGTGAGTCTCTAGCTGCTGGTGATGCGGCTGCTGCTGTTGGAGCTGTAGCTGCGGGTGCGACGGCCCTGGCGCCGTCCACAGGTCTAACTAACGGCGCCACATGCTGGCCCCGACGCCAATACCGCCGGAGGCGACGCCTCGCCGTACTGCCTCCATCTCGTCCTGTCTGTTGTCGCGGTAGGCGCGCTTGGTGTCCTCGAATTCACGCAGCCGCTGATTATACCGATCAATCTGATCCCGTAGAATAGCATCCTCATGCATCGCCCGCCGTTCGTCATACTCCAGGCAGCCCACACCGTCCAACCGCTCCAGATCCATCCAGCCGCGGAAGCGAACGCAAACCCCGTTCATAATGAAGTAAGACTTGATATGCACCTTGCCATGCTCCTTGTCGAAGTCGCACTCCTTATCGTGCAGGTACGGGTTCTGGTTGGCGTTAAATACCAGCTGCAGATTGGTGCCCGAGGCCACGAAGCTAGCCTCCGTGTGTCCCTCGCGGCATCCATTCATGAAACGTACCTGCCGCTCTTCGATGCTGCGCTCCCGATAACCCGTGTAGCGCACCTCACTTTCCCGGCTGAGCCGCCGGAAGAGCTCGTCGCTCTCGAACTTGGACTTCTGGTCGGGCACAACGCGCGGCATCTTAAAGATGAAGCGGGGCTTGGGTTGTTCGTATAATCCGATGGTATCGTAGGGTATCATGTTTGCAAGAGCCGCCTCGTTCATCATTTTATGGGATTATACGCGATTCGTTCGCTGGATGGAACGCTAAATGTGGTATCTTACTGTAGGTCCCTAGGCGGGCCTCTCGTATACGCAATTCTCCCTTAAACACAATACGCTAAATGGGGTATATTTTAGTCGGTCCTTCAACGGGCTTTCAACGTATACGCAATAAGCGTTTGTGTCTTAGCACTCTGAATGCTAATTGTTTAAATTTCTCGCCTCCGTCGCAGAAAACAACTCACAATACAACAAAAAGGATGGTTTGCGGTTTTGATATACCAACTGACGCGGCGTTGCCACTGAGAAAAAGTGGAGTTTGAAAATAGAGATGGGAGCTAAAGCGTGACACGAGCACAACTTTACATTTATGATCTCAAAAACATGCAAGTCTCGCAATTCATATATAATTAGACCAATAAGGAATTTAAAGTACGACAATGAGCTAAGTCGAGCACTATTTGTTAGGATATTTTCCAGAAAGTAAACTTTGAGAAACATTTCCTCAAATATACGAACTGCATGCTCATCTAACGGTATTATATGACTGGTCAACCATGGTCACACTGGTATCGTGTTTACAAAATAAAATATAGAATTACGATCGGAACAACAGGTTCCATAAGCACTTACTCTTGATCGATATGAGTGACACCCCTGCCTCGGAGAACGAGAAGCGACCCCAGTTTGGAACCCGCCTACTCACGGATGCTGACGACGTCTTTAAACACAATGCTTGGTAAATATGGGAGCCAATTCCTCCGGAGATTGGCCAGCAAGACGTGGGAGCACACTCGCCAGCGCAGAAAACCGTCAGGAGCGGGGAGCCGGGTGCTCACAGATGTGCGAGAAGTTTTTGAGTTCAATGCCTGGTACTTTTCAGTAATCGTGTGCTTATTGAATCTTTCTAATTCTTCATTCCCAGGGACCACGTGCAGTGGGACGAGGAGCAGGAACTGGCCGCCCAGACGGCAGTGGCGAAGAACTCGGCTAGCAAAATGGAAGCGGAACAAAAAGACAAATTTCAAGAAGATGCTCCAAAGTTCTGGGATTCCTTCTACGGCATTCACGACAACCGATTTTTTAAGGACCGCCACTGGCTGTTTACAGAGTTTCCGGAACTCGCTCCCTTGGCGAAAGATGCTGACGAGCAAGTACCACGCAGCATCTTCGAGCTGGGCTGTGGAGTCGGAAATACTATTCTACCCTTGTTGCAATATAGCTCGGAACCGCAACTAAAGGTATTTGGTTGCGATTTCTCCTCTCGTGCCATTGAAATCCTGCGGAGTCAATCCCAGTTTGACGAGAAGCGTTGCGAGGTCTTTGTCATGGATGCCACGACGGAACAGTGGACTGTGCCATTCGAGGAAAATTCTCAGGACGTAATCGTAATGATATTCGTGCTGTCTGCCATCGAGCCAAAGAAAATGCAGAGAGTGCTTAACAACTGTTATCGCTACCTTCGACCAGGAGGTATGCTCTTGTTCCGTGACTACGGAAGATACGACTTGGCACAGTTGCGCTTCAAAAGTGGAAAATGTTTGGAGGACAACTTCTATGTGCGCGGCGATGGCACCATGGTATACTTCTTTACCGAGGAGGAACTGCGGAGTATGATGACCACAGCTGGGCTAAAGGAAGAGCAGCTCATTGTGGACCGAAGGTTGCAGGTGAACCGTGGCAAGGGCTTGAAGATGTATCGCGTTTGGATACAGACCAAGTTCAGGAAACCACTTTAGTACAATTATTTAATTCATTTTGAAATAAAAGCGACAAAGTTTTTCAAAGGTTTAATGGCTTGTTAATTTTAATATATGTAAATTCAAATAAAAATTAACAAATTCTTTGAATAACAATGAATACAATATAATTTTCTTTATTATTTAAAAAAAGCCCGGCTTGCTTTTGAAATTCCCACTCCTTGCCAATCGCTACTTTTAAATCGCTTAGGAAAAGCTTCTCGTTGGAAAACCTATCGCTGCTGCACACTCAGGCAGCTTTTTCCCCAAATACACATAACAGTTAGAAAAGCTGTAAGTTTTCGCAGTTGGCCAAAAACGTCGTAAGTGAAAATTTTCCCTGTGCTGCGTAAAATATTTCTAAAAATATTATTTAAGTATAGTTTTTTGTAAACGAATGCTCCTCGAACATTGTAACAGTGTTGCTCATCAAGGGTGTCATTTTCGATTTATAAAGAATGGGAAAATCAAGCTGAAATTTCAACCAAAGGCAGCCAAAATCTTTGACGTGCAGAATTTCATTGATTTTTCTTTTTCAGTCTGAGAGCAGTTGGGCACTTGAAATTATTTTTAAAACGTTTTGCCAGTTTGAAGAGAGTTTTAAAGTGCCCTGGGGGGTATGCAACGGAAATAATAAAGACCTTGCCTCGTATTGGGGCGTGTTGCTGCCCTCTAAAGTGTCTTCTTAGAACCCGAGTAGAGACCTATAGAGAAATTCCAAGTATTAACCGATGTACTAAAAATAGTTGAAACTATTTTCGCACTCTATCTTGCAGCAGTTTCAGCGCTGAGCCAGAAAATTCCTGCGAAAGGCTGTCGTGGCAAGTGTTACCCGCACACATACACATCATCCAGATCCAGCCAATCCCCCCGTGGAGTGGAGTGAAAATTCATTGACGACTGGGGGCGAAAAAGCTCTGGCGGAAGAGCGAAAGAGAGAGAGGCGGCACTGAGAGCGCAACCCTATAGAACAAAAACAACGAAACAGAGTTCAGCTGCACCACCAACCAACACCTACACCACCACCCACTGACCACCACCATTCTGACCTGCGGCAGTGAAAGACAGTGAAAAAGGCCAAGTGCACAGTGCATAAACTACCTTCATCCTAATCATCGCCAGCCGAATTTGTTCAGGCCATAACAGCACCACCAACTAACTACAGCCACAACCACACAGCCACCAGAGCCATGTAAGTGGATGGACATTATTGATTTCTTTTTCGGCGGGGGAATGGGGATTCCCTCCATCGGTTTTTGCACAGAGGGAATGCTCATTTGATAGCCACATTAAGTATACGCAGCATGGGTCGACCATTCCATTTGTCATTTGTCGAAGTTTAAATAAGGAGCCCAAACCAGCTGCAGCTGCCGTTTGGGTTCACTAGGCATGATTCACTTGGCGATGACGTTGCCGCATCACATGGCCAAGACTCTCACACCGCAAAATCAATAAAAACACGTTTCGCACCAGTGAGTAAGGACATGCAAACTGAGTTGCACCTAGTTGGGTTTATTTGGGCTTAGAATACAAATGTATATTTAAGTTAAGATAACACTAAAAACATATGTAGTTGATGAAGAGTACCTTGATTCATTAAGTCCACTTTAAATAGTTCCCCAAAATGAAATATGATTTAGGAAAACTAACAGTTTTAAAAATAAAAACCCATATACGCAAATCAAATGTTGCCGGTCCTAGGGGTTGGGGTAAGATATTGATTTGTGTTTCTTCGCACTTGGGAAAATAAATGAATTCTGCACTAAATTCATATTATTTAAACCTTTATATTTTTCATTAATTTTAATGTATATTGATTTCTCCAATTGTGACATTTACTCTTGATTAAAATAAGTTATTTCCCCTCCTTTGACCCTCACAGAGAACAGAAGACGAGTTAAAGGTCTAAGTTTTTGGGGGTCTGAGATGGGCAAGAAAGACAAGAACAAGGAACCGTAAGTGCGCTCTTTAGTCGAAGGGTAGCTGGCTAGAACTATACTCCAGCACTGTCTTTAGCCCACACGTATCTATGAGATGTTGCTATTAAAGCTAGTACCCAAGCCCCCACCCACACCAACTAAATGTATAATTTAAGTATTGTATTCAATTTGAGAGCCCCCGTTGGGAGTTTATTAGCCTTGGTCCATGCTATTTTTGTGCGTTTTCCGATGACTAATGAAGTGTTCCCTTCCCGCAGGGCGGACGCTGCACCAGCTGGCGATGCACCACCAAATGCCGGAGCTCCGACCGGAGAGGGCGGCGATGGCGAGATTGTGGGCGGACCACACAACCCGCAGCAGATTGCCGCACAGAAGCGTCTGCAGCAGACGCAGGCGCAGGTCGATGAGGTACATTATATACAGATATAAATTATATGATATTTGTGATATAGAGGCTAGAGCTTTGACCTATAAGCCTTAGCAGTTAGCAAATACGAACTGATATCCTTATATCTATGACCAGGTCGTGGACATCATGCGCACGAATGTGGAGAAGGTGCTGGAGCGCGACAGCAAGCTGTCGGAGCTGGACGATCGTGCCGATGCATTGCAGCAGGGTGCCTCGCAGTTTGAGCAGCAAGCGGGCAAGCTTAAGAGGAAATTCTGGCTGCAGAACTTGAAGGTGGGTGCAATAGCAATTGCTTTATAGGACAATATTATAGCATTATGTGTCTTTTCCAGATGATGATTATCATGGGCGTGATTGGCCTGGTTGTCGTGGGCATCATTGCAAGTAAGTTGATAGATTCTAGCTGGACTTCGTACACTCATTACCGGGACACACACCTCCGTGAGATACTGACCCTCATACCCACTCGACTCACCCACACGCAGAACCGAAAAAAACTTTCAAGATTTCCCAGTTGTGTTTGTCTTTTGAGTTTGCCTTGGTTTAGCGCTAATTTCGTTGGCCGAAAACGCTTTCGTTTCTCTACACACCGAATCTAAATTCCGTTTTTAATTCCGCCACTTTTTTTCTCTAGGTAACTTTATGTAGATTGCTAACTATCTAATCCGTAAGAAACTAGTAACTTAGCCGCAATGCAATGCAAATCGAAACCAAATCAAAGTCAATCAATCAACCCAATAAGAACCAATCGAAACCAAATTTAGACTCATTAACAACTGCTATGAGTAGAGCTCCGAACTCACAGTCCAACTGACCGTTCGCTCAACCGATTCGACCTAGATGCCTTGCGAAATTTCCATAATTATATAGATCGATCGATCATATCATGTCATGCGCTTCAACCACCACTAGAACAATAACTAAATGCGGTATATATTTGTATTGTACTATATATGCCCAAGCCCAACATCATCTGGTTCCATACGAGCATACGCACAGGTTCGGTAATGATTTGATTTGATGCCCACTGAAAGTCGTGTCGTGTGTTGTTATAGTTCCGTTGCCTAACCCGTAAACAAGTTGTGATCGCTGCGGATATTGGATCTATCCATCCATGTAGGTTGCGTTTGAAAACCTGGATAAGGATTCAACGATCCTAACCAGAAACCTTCATGGCAGAGATGGACCTATATTCGTGTGTGCCCGTTAGCCTTAACCGTAGGACCTTAAGTTCTAGCTAGCGTAACTCCCGTAAGCAGTAATCGTAAAGTTTGTGGTTTGTTCACTGTTTCGTTATCCGTATTCGTATCCGTATACGTTTTTCGTTTGTTTCGTTCTGATATTGGCAGCAGCACCACAGCCACAGACACACGATTGTGCTATGTCCTGTGTAAAATATATATAAAACTAGAACCCAGTTACCCAGTAATTGTAGTCCCTTCTCGAAACTCGTTACTCGATACTAAGTCTCAACTCAAACGCAACGGCCTTCGGATCGAAAAAGCTAGCCTCACTTGTACCACTGAACCACAGCAAAAGCATAAAGTACTGCCATTCTATTTGATTTTCCTGTGTTGTTTCAATGTTTTCACTTTCTTTTGACACACTCTTTACACTGAACCATATTTTTGAACAATTACAGAGAAAGACGAAGAATAATACACTGAAAGCTTTAGCTTTGTACAATTTTGTTAACCATAAGCAAAACAATTTACCCCAAATAACACTTTGTGTGTGAGGTAAACGCGAGAGCAATCTTTTATTTATTACTCATACGCCACGTTTATCGCTAGGTGCACTCGTTGAAAAGATCATTTGTTTTACATGACTCAAAATTATATTTGTATTGGTTTATAATTTTTCGGTTTTCATCAAAAAAAAAAAACTGCTCGCTTCGATAAAAAATGAAAAGAAATTAAAAACAAAATCATAAACTCACCGAACAATTTCTCGTAGAACCGTACATGTCGGATGATAATGCTGCTCCGCAGCCTCCTGCCTTGCAGCAGCAGGTGGCTCCGGCATCGGCTCCGGCAACTGCACCAGATTCAGCACCACCACCACAACTACTACAACAACAACAACTACAACCACACCACCATACACAAAAATCTGAACCACCGACACTCGAGAAACCATTGGCCGAGAAATTGACCAACCAACCACAGAGTCCGTCGGATGAAGTGGCGACTGGGCAATAGAACGCTCACGATCTCTCTTGAAAACCAACCAACCAACCAACCAACCGAACAGCAACAACATCAGAAACTAATCAGCCATCGATTAACCACCAAGCCGCATTCGTAGAACCATAGTCAAAATTAACCAAAAATGAAAAGAAAACATTTCACACTCTCTTTGAACCATTGACAAAACCGATCTAATCTGATACACTGTAAGCAAAAAAAAAGAAACGACAGCAAATCAATTCAAATTATCATACCCAGTAATTTGACACCTGCGCTTCTTCTTACTTCCGTTTCCATTTGTATTAATATTTCCGTTTCCGCTGTTCCTCTGGTTTATATAATTTTAAGCTGGTTTTAAACGGTACAGAAGCTGCAAGGATTTATGCACATCTTTCCTTTCTGCCGCTGCATCGCTTAGAACCAGCTATAGACGCATGTATGTGAGTTAATCGATGTCTTAATGTGGTTAGTACTATATTATTTATGGTTTTTTGATTTACCGATTCAATGTTGTATGTGTTTTGGAATTGGCCTAAGTTTAATGCACCAAAAGCGAAAGGACTTCTCTTCAGGTGGTTTGAGGGAAGACAGCTTTCTGTGACTGCCTAAATGTACATAAAAATATATATTCGTTCGATGCAGTTATCCCTGCTGACCCACTCCCATTTGTCCACATCCCATGTCCAATTGCTATATTCCGTCATGAGTGAGCTTTTAACCATTGAAGTGTAATATTTTTGGCGTATACTCGTGTATCGATGTCTGAGATTGGCTAAACAGAGCTAAAGAGCCGCCTTATGTTTTGTCCAACTAACTCTTGTATTATTTTGAAACAGATAAACTTGGCCTCATAGGCGGGGAGCAGCCACCACAGTACCAGTACCCCCCACAGTATATGCAGCCACCGCCACCGCCGCCGCAGCAGCCCGCCGGAGGACAATCGTCACTGGTGGATGGAGCAGGAGCAGGAGGATCAGACGGCGGGGCAGCAGGAGCTGGCGACCACGGCGGCGTATAAACAATCTCGCTGCAAGGACAAACGTTTCTCGATTAATGTGCTCCCCCAGTGGGCAAAACCAAACCAAAAACAAAAACAAAATAAACAAAAGGAAAACTCAGTTAAACTAGAAAATCTCGAGAATTGCAATGAACTCAATAATAATTTCCACTTAGACGATGTGCACGAGTTGGTGTGAGAGGTTTTAAGTAACTTACGTCATAATATTAATACTAACTCTAATGAAGACGCTCCGGACAAATTAAAGTTGTTGCTAATTTGTTTATGGTTACATTATTTCATGCATAAAAACGGTATATATAAATATAAATATAAATATAAATACAAATATATGGAACTTGAATATTACGAGTGACTCTAAACCACGTACTACCCTATATGGAACTTGGATCTCTACGCTGCACTGGCAACAAGGAGCGCCAGTGGAAGCAGGAGGACAGGCGGTCGCTTCCCGATGTTCGCAGCTCTTTGAACTCAGTTTTCTTAGCAAATCGACTAGACAAAACTACAAAAAAAAACCTAACTATTTCGGAACAAGACCCAAAACCAAAGAAATCTAAGCTTTGTTCCTAAGTAAAGTTACGCAAATATGAATATTCGAAATGTATAATCCAAAAAAGAAGTTTGAAATCGACGGGCCGTATAAGTAATTGACAGTTAAATGTATTCATGGAACTTTACTTATATAAAGCAAGTGTAGTCGGCTAAAAATCACAAACAAAAATCCAGTAAGAAAAAAGTAAAGAAACTTGAAGTCTAGTTAAAATATACAAAGCGATTTATTTGCAAAGAGTTCTGTTTTTGTGCAATCATTATACTGTTGTGTTTGAAAAACAGCCCAGTCAGCAATTGAGTATAGCTGGAAAGGTTCGATTGAAAGATGAAACCAAACAGTTCAACGATTAAATTAAGCGCTAGACACAAAATACGTTGGTTATCCAAAGGATTTATTTAGCTCAACGCTGGCAGCAGAGGCACTTAACATATGTTTGTATATTTCAATGTTACGAGTAATAGACAAGGCGGTAATTAGAGCATATATATGTACGTGAATGTAACGATATGATATTTAGATCTCACACACTCCACAGTCCAAATTTCACCCGATACCCAATTCCCGATTCCCGACCCCCCAGCCCATTACCTCCTCATTACCGATCAACCGATCAGAGAAATAACTTTGAGACAACACTCGTAGCACATATTGTACTCACCATGTTCTGAAGATACAACCTATGCTACGATTAATGTATTAACTAATTGATTCTACAAGCGCCTGCCCAAAGTGCTTTGCGTACCAACCAATTCTTGGGGCACGAACTAAATCGAAATTAACTAAAGAAAAACCAAAGATTATAGTGGAAAAACGAAAATCCAAATCCGTATGCAGGTATTTTTAGCAATATTCGTAGCGTGTACAATATGTCGCCCTTAAAGCTTATTAGAATCTCGTTCAATGTCCATCTCAAACTCACCAGACACTTCACATGCATATAACCATTAACAGATATAAATCAATATATGTATGTAATAACCAATGACAAATGTTTAGAAAAGCGTTTCGATTTTTGTTTGGATTTTAACCAAAAATGAGAACAATTGTATACACAAAAAGACCTATGAAATCCCCGGAGAAAGGAGAACCCTCTAGAGGTTCCCAACATTGCGTTGCGATGACCCGGAACCCTTTGAGCGGAGGAATCCCCGTGTAAAAGACGGACACACAAAACAAAGAAAAACTCTATAAGAATCCCCAAAAAACAACAACAGACGGCAAATGAGAGTATATATATATGAACCGTATATAAACAATAATATTACTAATTAATTTAATGATTAATTGCACCCCGAAAATACATAATTATTTAAATAAATAAATAAAAATAAAAACTGAGTGTTTTATTTTCCCATTGGAAAAACCCCATTTAACACAGGGCTTTAATTTCTAAATTGGACAAGAATGAATCACGACGAAAGTGTAGCATACTATTCTGGGCTCACACAGCCGAATTTCGTACTTAACTCTAGGATAGGGTACGCTTCGGTTCCCAGCCACACGTGGCTGCATACATAAATACCAATTGGGATGAAGGCAATGCTTACACAGGATAGTGGAAATAAGAGTCAGTCTGCTGGGGAAGCCTATCTGTAAATCAGGCAGAAGTGCCGGCGTGGGGCGCCTGTTTACTACACTTGCCACACCTGATTAAAATCTATTGACAATGCAGGCGTCGGCGAAATTGGAGCAGCGCTAACAAGGGCCCGCAAAGGAAACGGAAACACCTCACTTCGACGTCCCGGGACTGAGAGCCCCAGCAACCAGCACTTAATAAAACCCAATTACCAAAGGTGTCCGCCATCGAAATCCTGGAGGCGGATGGCAAACAATAACAGCTGCAAAGAGCCCAGCTGGTGCCGCAACACCTGCAAATTTTATTTGCATTTTCCTGGCATTTTCACACCCATTAAATATTATATACGGGTATATAGTTTTCGATTAAATCAGATATTGCGATTAAAACTGATATCATTTCTAACTTTATATTAAAAAGATGTATATGCATTTAATTTTTATAATTCCTAATTCGAGCTTAATGAGCCATTAACCCTAAAACAAAAATATATTTAAAATAATTAAAAATAATAATAAATTATACCTGGTAAGTATCCTTAATGCCGTATCAGTTGGTCAAAGTAAACTTACTTGTTTATTATTATTAACTTCGTAGCCGTTTCCCGGCAAGGACATGCGCAAACACCCCCACCTCCGCCAACAACTCTTCGCCATCATCCCCGCTGAGGCACCAAGGACTACGGAAAAGGGACACGGATACGGACAGGGACAGGGATCTCTGAGTGGAACAAAGTGGCGTATAAATACGGCGCAGCTTTTGCGCACAGCTTCAGTTGGCGGACCGTGTTGCTCGCGATTCCCTTTTCCCGGTCGCTGCGTGCGCTAGGTGAGAGTTCATCCGTAAACGGCCAACTGTTGCAAGTTGCACTCAGCAGGGAGCAGGTTGCAGGCTGCATGATAACGGCTCCAATTACTGCCTTAAGTGCAACACATTACGGGTGTGAATTTGATTAATTGCTTTGTAATCCGATTGTAAGCGGTGAAAAGTTTGTGTAATTCAAGGATTTGTTTTAACAAATCCCATGTAACGCTGACCCACTTCCCCATTACCCAACAATAACAATACAAAGTAAGTAATGTGCTTTATAGAGTTTTCGATAAATGTGCGTTGTGTAAAATTGGCAAGTTGAATAAATATAATTTAAAAATTAAATTTTTAAGTAATAAACTTTTAGGACAAACTAAACGTTTAGGCAAAACATTATATTACGTTTTTTTAATTCGAGTACGGAACTAGGGAAATTTGTGATCAATGTAATAATTTTTGAAACAGCATTGTATTAAGTCCTAAATTGCACTTTATTAATATTATAAGCTGGTCAATCTTTAGTTGGGTTTAACAAATGAGAAAACCATATATTTTTTTAAAAAGTAATTCAAAGCCTCAGTATACGAGTTTTCAAGAGATAAATAAACAAAATTACTTAATATACCCTTTTTGAATCCAATAGTAAAATATAAATCTATTTTACTTTAAATTTTTTGTTCAGATAAGAATGTTATAGTACCTTAGAAATGAAGGCTTTAAATATCCCTTCAAAGATTTCCCTTTGTTTCCAACACTATCGTGCAGAGAGGCCCCAAGTAATTCACAACAGGGTGGGTGCAAGCCAAATAAAACTGGTTGCCAGTCATCACGACTGTTGGGTCAATCATATGGCGAAAATAGTGGTTAAAACCACCCCTGACGTGGCAGCTTTCTCGGGGGTTGCATGCCGTATGCCATATCCGAACCCGAAACGGAAACCGAATCAAAATCCGAGTCCAAATCAGCAGCACAGTCAGTCTGCAAACTTCGGAGCGTACGGTTGTCAAGTTGCGGTCGCCTGCGTGTCTTCTCTTTCCCGATTTCAGCACTCTTCCCGCACACACGCACAGCACACACAGGAGCAAGAGAGGGTGGAGCGGCGAGAGGAGGCGACTTTCGCTCATATTTCTCGCATTGTTATTGTTGCCGTAGTGTATATACCCACTGTGTGACTCCACTGTGTGCGTGTGTTTTTCCTGGAAGTTCGAATTCTCTTTTTCCGTCTGCCGTCGAGCAAATAAAAAGTTGCTAATTGGTAGCATCGAAGTCGGAATCGGAATCAGAATAGGCATAGGAATCGGAATTACTAGCCAATAACCATGGCCGACAACAACAACTGCCCCAAGTGTAAAAAATCAATCGCCGCCAAGGAGGCGGCCGCCACCAGCATTGGATGCAGTGGCGAGGACTGCCGGAGGAGGTTCCACCGCACGTGCGTCAGCATCGACGATGCCTTGTTCGAGGCGATCCAGAAGAACCCGATGATATCTTTCCACTGTGACGAGTGCAAGAACCAGTCGCCGCGCTCCTTCGCCGCCAAGTTGCACACAATCGAGGAGAAGGTCAATAAGGTGTGCAACGGGGTCAACCAGATCCAGGGACGGATGTACCAGCAGTACTTCCAATTCGGCAACCAACCGCTTCAGGCGCTCGGAGCCTCGGCCGCCGGCGTGGGTGGCGGTGGCCTTGGAGGTGGACTGGATGGCAAGAAGCATCCGCAGCAGAACAACCTCATTGTGGTAGGGAACAACTGCAATTCCGATCGATTGCAGGTCGTCTGCGACTACGGCCGATGGGTACAGGTGGGCAAGTTCGCCACGAATACTAGCGAGGAGGATGTGATTGATCACTTGGCCGAGGAACTGAAGATCAACAAGAACCTGGTGAAGTGCACCAAGCTGGTGAAAAACGATGCCAACCTTTCGCAGTTGTCGTACTGCAAGTTCAAGATCTCCATTCCGGACTACCGCTTCAATGAGCTTTTCAACGAGGCCATCTGGCCCAGCGGCGTGATGGTCAGCCCCTTCACACCACGTTCCCAGTTGAACCAGAACCGCCTCTAGAGGGACGTGCCCGGCGGCCGGGAGAGCGGTGACCGGGCGAGGGTGAAGCAGTAAGCGGTAAGGTGGAGGTGGAGATGGAGGTGAAGGAGTAACAGGAGCAGCTGGAGAGGAAGTACCCAAAGGAAGGAATGCGCCTGCGCAGGGAGAGGATAAACGACGATGAGGCGGAGAAGGAGGAACTGCATCGCGGCCTAGCACCCAAGGGTTGCTATACGCACTGCAACTACATCGCGGATTTCCCCATTCCGCTCTAATCCGGTTTTCCCTTTGGGCCGATGGAGCAGCAGGCGGAGGAGGAGCAACTATGTGGCCCCCATTGTATGCTAATTTTCGAAACTCGAAAACATTGTCTAGATCTTTAAAAGCTTACAGAACCTATCTAATGGAAAACCAACAAGCATATTTATTGAATTAACTTTGAAAATGCATTTTAAAATGTTTTAGCGTTGCGTAAATAACGAAAATGAAATCGATAAAGAAAACCAAAAGTATTTTAATGGCAAAAACTCACAAGTAAAATAGATGTGAAGCAAAAATATTAGTCATTTATGCATAACTGTCGTACTTAAATTAAAGTAAACCCGAAAACAAAACAAGAAACTAAGAAAACTAAAACCAAGCTAAACTTACTTAAACACACCGAAATTGATGATTATTCAGGCGCGTATTTAAACCATTTACTGACCAGGCACCGAGATTCCCTTTTGATTTTCCAAACTCAATTCCAGGACTTGAGAGATTTGCATTTCGAGTCCAGATCGTTATAGTTTTTCCAAATCGATAGACATTTTTTTACGACGCGTGTGCGATACCTATCACATTAAGTACTTAACCGTAACCAATATCAAACGTATATTCAAGCAGACGACGGCTTATATTGTATTCGTATATGTATGTAGTTTGAGGCATTTTCAAAGCTTGTTCCTGTTCCCAAAAACGTTTGGACATTTTGCGAACCACTGCACAGGACACTGGCCAGCAGCTAGACCCATTCAAATTCAGATCGGAAATATATGTATTTGCGTTTTCGACGAGGGGAAACCCCAATCTCAATCCCAATCCCACGTATCACGGATCATGGGACATGGGACCTGGCCAAACACAAATGGCAGTTACCAAAACACGTTCCACACGGACACATTCGAAACGATAAAACAAAGCTGGGCAAACCCGTTGCAATAATTACTCACTGCTCGAGTGTAATGGATGTACATTTCGTAATTGATCTATTTTTTTACACCAATCCAACAGCAATATTTTCCGTGGGCTCCACGCCAGCGATCCGAACAGAACCGTAGATATTTACGCAAGAGTCAGCAAACGAAATGTAAAACACATATATTATATATTTAGTATACAACAATATGCATGCATGTATTTATGTCAACTTTTTCAATAAATTCTACAAAAATTAAATACCAAAAAGAAGTGGATTGACCTTTAAGTTTCGGGTAACTTTATCCAGCCTATGAAGACTCCAAATGATTTTACTGTGATAGAAATTATTTTGGTTTTAGAATGAACTGGACACAACTTTTCAAATATTTTCAGGTTAAGTGCAATGGCCAACTCTAAACGTAAACTGCCGACAAAAACCAGTGCCACAAAGAACTCGTCGCCCCATAAAGCTCTTCCCCGTTCAAGGGAAAAAGCGCACACAGAAGCAGATTCAACGGATGCCAAAGACTCCTCCCTGCGTAACCACTTTTTCAGAGATTGCTTCGGCCACGAACTGAGCAACTTCTCCAGCTTGTCCAACTTCACGCTCTGGCTGCAGAGACCCGTGGATGGAGCAGCCTTGGGTATTTTCCGGTTGCTCTATGGGGCAGCCATGCTGATTGACATCGCAGAGGAGCGGGGCGGCGGACAACTAGATGTGCGATTTCAAGAACCACTTCACTGTCACTTTCCACTCTTCAACGGGATGCGGGCATTGACATATCCGCTTATGGGATGTGTCTACCTGTGCATGTGGCTGGGGGCTTGGGGCATCATGGTTGGATATCGATTTAGGATCAGCTGCCTAGCCTTCCTAATTCCCTATTGGTACATCTTCCTGCTGGACAAACCGACGTGGAATAACCACAGCTATCTCTTCGGACTGGTTGGAATTTTGCTGCTCTTTACCCAAGCGGAGTCCTACTGGTCTGAAAACCACTTAAATTCTACAATCCGAAATTTACAACCAGCCTCTAACTTTCAGCTCCCTGGACAGCTGGCTAAATCCGAGAAGCAGTCGTTATATTCCCTATTGGAACTACTTCATTATCAAATTTCAGTTCTTCGTACTATACATGTACGCAGGTCTAAAGAAGTTTTCCCTGGAGTGGCTATCGGGATACGCGATGACCAATCTGAGCTATCACTGGGTCTTTGCCCCATTTCGCCAAGTTATAGATCCCGAGCTGATTGACCTACTGATCGTGCACTGGTTCACAGCCTTCTTCGACTTGTCCATTGCTTTTTTTATGACATTGGACAAGACAAGACTACTGGTCACCCCTTTCATGCTCAGCTTTCACCTTATGAACTCCCGACTCTTCGTAATAGGTAAGAACATAATTTTAGATAGATAAATCCTGATTCTGACGAATATATGCTATTATTGAACTTACCCAACAGGCATGTTTCCCTGGGTTTGTTTGGCTGAGGTGCCGCTTTTCTTCAGCTTTGACTGGCCTAGAAGGATAAGCGACTGGTCAAAGACCCCACTGCTCCGGCCAAAATATCCCACGAAAGAGCTCTCAAAGCCGGGAATCCTGGCTAAAATGCGAACATGTCTCATCCTCGGTTACTGCGGACTTCAGCTCTTTCTGCCCTACTCACACTTCATCACTAAGGGATATAACAACTGGACGAATGGACTGTACGGCTACTCATGGGACATGATGGTGCACTCATACGATACATTACAGACAACCATCCAAGTGGTCGACAACGAGAGCCGACAGGTACACAACCTGAATCCATATGCTTTTACAGAGTACGACCGCTGGACGAAGTATGCCGACATGGCTGTGCAGTACGCCAGGTGCATAGAAGATAATCTCCGGGAAGGAGAGCCGAAGATGGCAAAAAACATCTCCATTTACTTTGACATTTGGTGCTCAATGAATGGTCGTTTCCAACAGCGCTCCTTCGATCCGCGTGTGGATCTGCTCCAGGCCAAGTGGTCGCCCTTTGAGAGCACCTCCTGGTCGCTGCCACTGCTGAACGAGCTGAATCACATGCGGCCCAAGCTGCGGACTATTGAGACTGAGGTGCTGGCGTGGAACAACTACTCTGATGTGGTCTTTGTCGCCGATTTCCCAGGACTTACGTTGACCAATTTCATCTCGCCAGACCTAATAAACTGCACTCTAACTATCCTCGAAGGAAACGTGCGTTATAGGAACGAGCGGGATCCAGAGGCCTATTTCCTGACAGCCGGCAAAAGCATTGGTCTGGAGAGCAACATTACCCATTTGGTAACCACCATTGGCCAGAAACCAGCCTCTTATCTGTTTACATACACCAACAAGACGATGCTGGAGCAGGGCATCACGATAGAGAGCCCGGAGGCAGAGGAGCGTTCTATTTTGCCATTGTGGCAAGAGTTCCAACAACGGGTGACCAACTATCAACAGTTTCTGAGCCACATTGGCAACTGTCTGATGTTTTTGCTTTACGATGTGCCCATTCCGCAGGTCATGAAAGAGAGAGATTGAGTTTGAAGGCTAACAATCGGACCTGTTCCGGTTTTCACTTGATCTTTATTCGATTTGATATTTGTTTGAAAATGTTTAGGTTTAATTTTTGTATATTATATATATTAATTTAAATTTTTACTTGAAATAACTAACCGAAAAAGTCAATAACTTTGGATACCTAAACCACAGTATTATCAATCGGATCCCACATACGTGAAAACCGGAACAGATCGATATAACGAATGTGTGGGTGATAAAACTGATAATAAATGTACCATATTGTACCGCAACCCGTCCTATTTCTCTTATCGCATATCTACAACTGTATTTACAAACGTCACAATGAAACTTTAAACCTATAAATAGCGAATCTCCGAGACGGGAGGATTCTACGGAAAATTTTGTTGGTTAGGGAGGGCTAAACGAAGGGGAGGGTTTTAACATTGGAACAAACACCTGCACAAGTTGAAGCCTCTTCTACGCAGCTCCTCGAGACTTTTTCGCTTCCGCCTCCTCCTTGATCTCCCGGGTCGGGTCGAACTGCTGCGTTTGTGTCTCCCAGAGGCGGGCATAAAGACCGTTTTGCCTTAGCAGCTCCGAATGAGTGCCGCGTTCGCCCACATGTCCATTCTCTAGAACTAGGATCTCGTCGGCGTCCTTGACAGTTGAAAGGCGGTGGGCAATGCAAATGCTGGTGCGACCTGAGGTAGCGCGGGTCAATGCCTGCAGAATGTTCTGTAAAATAAGGATATCCGAGTAAGTCAGGCAGCTTAGGAAAACATAGAGATTGGACTTGGTAGCCCCATACACTCACATGCTCTGTAATAGAGTCCAAACTGCTGGTAGCCTCGTCGAAGATTAGAATGGGGGTGTTCTTAAGTATAGCTCTAGCAATCGCTACACGCTGCTTCTCGCCACCGGAAAGCTTTAATCCTCGCTCTCCCACTTGAGTGGAGTACTGTGCTGGCCAGCTCATGATGGAGTCATGCAGGTCCGCCATGCGGGCAGCGTTCTCTACTTCCGCATGCGACTTGGACAGGTTACCATAGTGGATGTTGTGCTCGATAGTATTGTGGAACAACACCGAATCCTGCGGCACCACAGCAATAACCTTGCGCAGGCTCTCCAAATCCACAGCGCTAATATCCTGACCACCGATCAAAACTTTACCGGAGTTTGGCTCAAAGAACCGGAAGAGAAGGCGCACCATCGAGGATTTCCCTGATCCAGAGCCGCCCACAATGGCGACGTTCTTACCGGCGGGTATAGTAAAAGACAGGTCTCGGAAAATAGGCTTGCCCGGTTCATACTCAAAGCTCACGTTGCGGAACTCGATGGAGGAATTGGTGGTGTCCACGAACAGGGGCTGGGCATTGGCCGCCGTCTGAATTCTACTGTCCACATTCATCAGCGTGAACATGGCCTGCATGTCCAATAGGGCCTGACGCACTTCTCGATACACACTGCCCAGAAAACCGAGAGGGATCGAGAGTTGGAAGAGCAGCGCGTTGACCATGACCAAGTCTCCCACTGTCATGTTTCCCTGGGCGATTTCCTTGGCTGCCAGTACCATGATTAAACTCAGGGCGCTGCTGAATATAGCGTTCTGACCGAAGTTGAGCAGGGCCAGACTGGAGCTAGTCTTTAGACTAGCTGCCTCATACTTTTTCAGTACCTCGTTGTAGCAACCTGCTTCGTACTTTTCATTGTTGAAGTACTTGACCGTCTCGTAGTTTATCAACGAGTCAACTGCCTTGTTCCCAGCTTCGTTCTCCGCCTGGTTCATGTAGACGCGGAACTGCGTGCGCCACTGTGTCACACTCAGAGTGTAGGCGGCGTAGATGCCAACACATCCCATGCTTACACCCGCAAAGGCCAAACCGCACTTCACTCCCAGGATACTTGAAACGAGAGCTAATTCGAAAATGGTTGGCACTATGTTGAATACCATAGCAGATAGCACAAAGTTGATGCCTCTCGATCCACGGTCTATAGTCTTTGATAGCGCTCCCGTCTGCTTGTTCAGGTGAAAAGCCAGATCAAGGTTGTGCAGATGTAGGAAAACATTGCTGGCGATCTTCCGAATCGAGTGGTGGGCAACTTTTGCGAACACCGCATTACGCAGCTCGTTAAAGCCCGCTGCACTGGCTCTAGCAATGCCATCTGCGGATTATATGGTAAATATTTAGTCTGATCCCTAAGTGAAGGAACGGACTTACATCCCAGCATTAGGGCGGTGGCTGTAGAGAGTATTGCATCAGGAGCGGTGTCCATGTTTAGCGTTGTCATTGTGTCCACCGCTCCTTTGAACAAGAAGGGAACGCAGACTGTCAACAGTTTGGAGCCAGCCAGAAGGCCCAAAGAAATGCCCACTCTATCGATTTAAGGAATCATAAATACAAAAAAGTTTCCTAATCATATATCTAACAAGAATGACTTACCGCTTTCGCACTAGAGGATCTTCTTTGGGCCAGATATAGGCCATCATGGCGCGCAGCATATCCTTGGAGGTTACCTCAGGGGCGTCCAGCTTTCCCAATCCGGAGCCGCCATCGCTGCCGCCTCCTATATGAACATGACATTGTCGTGATTGCTGTTGTTGTGGGCGGTATGGTCGTTGCCGCTGTAGCGTTGTTGTTTTTGCTGATGCTGCGGGGGCTCCACCTGCATTGAATTCACTTGGATGCAGCCAAATTCAGACAGGCGCTCAACACAACAAGCGCACAAACAAACAAACAAACAAACGGGCATTGACCGACTAAGGTTAGGAACGTACTCGGTCCACAAAACAAAATCAATTTTGGGTTAGTCAATAGAAAAAAGCGTGAGAGGCTAGTACTAAATAATAAAACCTGCGGATCAGCAGGGGTGCTGTATTAATTACGGGAAGTCCGGCATTTGTTAATGGCTGGGTTAATGGACTTTTCCTGAGGCACCTACCTTTGGCCTTCTTGCCGAACACTCCACCTAGGAGCTTGCTGCCCGGCGTGGGCGTAAACGGGGTTATCTTCTTTCGCTTGACATCGCTGTTACCTTGGTCATCCACCTTTGCCAGAGAAGAGTAAAGCTGAAAGGTCACAGAACAAATGGAGTAATTACAAACTATATACATTTTTTGAGATTTATTAGAAAAATAAAAACGGTTCATTCAATTTATAACCAAAATGCTTTGTACTGTTTTCTAATTTAAGCTTAGCATAGATTACTTCTATTCTCTTGGATGTGCCACTTGAAAATCATTCAGGTAGCGGATGCACTCCTTCAAATAAAACCGTGCCACCAAACCGCTTTCCGTCAGTTTTGGTAGTTTGTCCAGCTCTCCCCCAAAGATTTCGTACTCTTTTATTTTAAAGGCTACGAGTTGGGACAGTTCCGGCTGCACATCCTCGAATTGTTCCACGTCACCAAAGGCAATCTGGTTGAGAATATTGGGGAAGTAGGCCTGCTGTTTAAAGATCAGGTGTAGAACTACCCTCAAATTGTGGGAGCATCCGTCGTTGATGTGAACAAACATCTGATCGTTCAAATTATGCTCTCTGATGAATTTAAAAATGTTCCGGTGGTAGGTTTGCGTGGATAGCACCTTGTTGTTCTTAACCATGTGCTCAATATCCAACAGGGAGATCTCAAAGTAGTCGTGCTTATTACCTTTCAGACAAAAGCCATATTCTGTGAGCAACTTAAAGTTCGACAGAGCACCATAGCTGATGAACAATTGCTCATAGGATTTGGTTTTCGAATAAGGTAGGGTTTTTAATGTGAGAACGTAATCCTTGCCTTCAATCTCAGCTGTAGTTTGCACACTATCAGAGTGGTTGAAAAGATCCAGGAACGGAGCCAAAGCTAGGTTGGTATCGCTACTTATAAGAGCCTGGAAATGGCTGCATTGCTTTTTCAGAAATCGGGAACTAAGGTAGACGCTTCTAGTATTTGTGGTGAAGTAAGCCCACTTAAATTCTGCGAGTGTAAAAATATCCTGGCCATAGCTTTTTCCACAGCAATCGCAGCTCGTGACCAGACTCTTGATAATTTCAAAATATCTCCGTATCTGGCGATTCTGGCCAACCGTTCGTTCTAGGACGGATTCTGGCAGACACTGCAGCTCAGGTATGGAGCAGAAATAGGGAGTTGAGTACGTCTTGGGCAGGGTTTCCAAATAGGCAGTATAAACAGGCTGAAGCGTTTCAAGAGAACACTCTTTCAGATGCTTTAGGTATAAAAGGTAACAGGCTACCAGTGCCTGAAAGGAAATCCTGGAATCCTTGTCGAATAGCTCCTTGTCGAAGAGGCTCTTGAATTGCTCGTCCGATTCCAGAGTGGCTATGCTGATAAGGCAGCCAACGGGCAGGCGAATGAGCTCGTCTTCCTGGGAAAAGGTTTCCTTTTTCGAACATAATCCTCGTCCAGTCAGGGTATATGTTTGCGCTGATAGATGGGTATGGTTCTGCCACCCAAGGGAGTTAAGATGAATATATAGATTCCGCAGGGAGCCGGAATCCTCATCAGATATTTTAGCCCTCTGAAGCCGGTGACGTTGGGTGCGACCCATTTTTCTTAATCGATTCTCCCAGTCTGGGTGTGCGGTGTTTTGGTCTATCTCTATGCTTGCTGCAACGAAATAAGCCAGAGCATGATGCATTAATTCACGATTGATTGGGTGGATAAGGAAAAAGACCAAAACAACGCACACGCAGACTGTTCTCATTGCCGATCGTCGGTAATTCCCGTTCAATCAAACCGCCAATTTATTGCGCATTTACGCACAATTACGAAATCGTAATCTAGTCTAGATAGTCTGGCATGTGGCCTTGAAATTGGACTAGACCCGGAGTACTCACCACTCTTGCCTGCACGTGTTTTCCAGTTCCTTTAACGAACGTGTAGCATTTCGCGCGACCTAAGTGGGCGGGTAAATGGATGCTGCACTGCTTGGTCAGGTGTAGGAGTCCGGCCATTACTCAATTGCCAGTCGAAAACAAAATAGAAACCCTCTTCTTTTGCACCGTCCCTGTGTTTTTGCGACGATATCTGCATCCAGCAGCGTCAGCTGTTCACTGTTACCGTGCCGTTGTGAATGCCTCCCCAGTAACGAGTCACTTGAACTAGTTCCGTTAAAACTTGCTTGAAATACATTTAATTTTTATTTTTTTAAAACAATCAGTAAAATTAGATAATATAATTTTTATTGTAAAAACGAGTTTAGATTATTTATTATTTTTTTTTAAGTAAACAACAACATTGGATTCAAAAGATCCAAGAAGCTTGACACCGTTAAAAGAACTAGTTCATTTTAAGCACTTCTATTTACCTCCGACCCTCCAAATTCAGCATATCTGAATTCTGGAATAGTCCACCGCTTAAAGATGTCTTTATTTGGCCTAATTATCTCTGGACGCCTGCCGCAATCGGATTTTGTGGCTGTGGATAACACAAAGCTGCTGGTCAATGTGCCTGACATCGAGTCCGTCAACTACCTGGTAGTATTCCTCACCGGCGTATCGCCCCTGCCCGTCGGCACCTCGGCGGCGATATACTTCAGCTGGCCAGACGCGAATGCGGCACCCACATGGCAGTACCTAGGTCACATCAACAACAACAAGCCCTCCGCCATATTCAAGATTGCCCAGTTAAAGAAGAGTCACGAGCTGGAGGCCCACTCCCACGGGATGGTCTTCGGCAGCCAGGAGATTTCTCATATCGCACAAATCGGAATCTCTCTCGAACCGGAGCTAACGGTAGCCCAGCAGACGCCAGCTGTGGTGAGTTCATTATAGTTATCACATTCCATATCGCATAAGTACCTAGATCTGAGCATCATATAATGAAAAGTAACCTAAATTAATTTCCTACCATTTCTCTATTTTACAGTCGAATGCCAACGACAACAAGCAGTTTGGCCAGCGAATGCTGGAGAACTTCTTCAACTATGCCTCCAGCTTCGGCGTAGCTGCCAGGGATATCCCACCTGCCTCGAGCGAGACTTTCGTGCCTTTCTCCGTCGTCCAGAACTGGTATACAAATTTCCAGCGCCGCATGGAACAGAACCCAAACTTCTGGAAATACTGAAGGCACACCGACGATGGAGGAGTCGCCTCCGAAAGTTGTTGATATTACAAGTAAAGTTTTATATTTATGTAAGTTTTTCTAAGCGTTTATTGGGTGGAATTATAAAGGGTTAATGCATACGAAAAATTTGGCTAGGGATACGGTGTTGTTGGATCATATTCCGTCTCCTTGGGACTCTTCAGAGTTTTACTCTTACTGTCGGAATCTTGCGCAGGCTTACGTTTCATGAAAAGCGGTTTAGAGGACGCAGTCTTTGATGGACTCCGAGCAGCTAAAGTTCTAGAAGCCTGACCGGAAGCTGGAGCCGAGCCTGACCTATTCCTGTCAGACGACGACGGACTTCGAACAGCTGATGTTGTTTCAGGTGCAGTATCTGGATCGCGAGACGAACCCGATCTTTTTTTACCTGAGTCTACTACTCTCGGAGGCCTACTCGGCATAGAAATTAGTGGTTTTCGAGGGGCTGGACCTGTAGGAGCTATATATGCAGCTGGAGCCGAGCTAGATCTTTTTTTTCCTGATGTATCGCCCTTACCTGGTGGCGATGACGCGCTCTTAGCTGGAGAACTTGCTTTACTACTTGGTGCCGACTTGGCTTTTTCCTGCTGCTTCTTAACTTTTTCCTCAAGGCGTTTTTTGTTCTCCGGGGTCAGCTCTCCGAAAATGCTCTTTATGTAGGCCTTGTACTCGTTGTAGTGCTGCACCTTGTTGCCCGTGGCTGGCGAGGCGCTCGGCGGTCGCCCGTGATAGGACACGCAACGGCTGCGGAGAAGAACCAGTTCGAGATTACAATTTTAGCAAGTGTCACCCAGTATTTTCCCCCTCCACCCAGATCTCGCTCTGTGGTCTATTTCAACAATAGCATTGACGGTGGGCGACGCGAGTTGATTTTTATTCGGTCTCTCTGCCTATCGTTCTTTTTGTGGCCTGCAAAAAAGCAATTTGGCAAACTGACATATTTATTCAGTCTATATAGTGTCCGCTATATATATAGACCTCAAAAAGAGCGCTTCTCGTTCTGCTTAGCATCGGAAACACGCGCAACCTCTTCTGACCAACTGCAATTTCTATTGTCTTACAAGATCTTTCAACATTGATATGCCCTGCAGATAATCGAAAGAGGTTCCCGAAGATTTCTTTCACTTTAAGAATAATTCTGCAATCTGTATTAATATGAAAATTTTCGTAGATCAACTATGATTACCTTACCCGAACTTTAGATATGTATTTAATAAGTTCTTTAATTTTTAATGGCACAAACATCAAAAATTTGCTATATATTATGTTTACTTCTGCAAAATGTGTATACAAACTAATGTTGATTAAGGTTATTATACAGATATGTTTGTAATCATGAGTATTTCTATATTTTGAAAAATAAACATTAAATATTCTTCTGGGAAAACAAATATCGATGAGAAAATTTTTAAATAAGTAGAAGAAATACATCCTAAATTTGCAACACATTTGCAGGGCATTAGCACTTCGTGATCTATGCACCTTCGACACCATACAATTCATTTGCAATTACATAGATTGCTGACTGATCAATGATCGGATGGTTGCCAGCGAGGCGCAGCCACAGGGAACGGATTGACGGATCATGGTGCTCCCGCCGACGGATTGCGCCAGTTTCGCTTGCAACGTGTTGAGTGAAACATAGTCGAGAGTGATCGGAGGAATAAGCTCGATTTGGTCGCGTGTTGACCACGAAAATAGGTCAACAGAAGAGCAAGAGCAAGCCACGCCCACAAGATGACAACAACGCAGCAGGTGGAACCTCTGGGGGGAACGGCTGAGGAGTCAACGCCATCAATGTCGCAGGCAGCAGCTAATAATAATATTCATAATTCTCAGTGGCTTGTTGATGGCATCGTAAATCAGGGAACTGAGTCAGCCGTGTTTTGTTGGTCAAAGACGGCGCCGGAAGTGCTCGGAATGGCAGGGCAATTTCCGCTTGGCCAAGGAATCACTTGGCAAAACAGCTTCCCCATGAATCACTACTATGGTAGCATGAACATAGGAATATGCCAGCCACATTTCCAACCAATGCAAACAGGAAAGTTTCCCATGCATCTGAACTTACAGATAAACAACGGATTTCCCTTGAATCTGTGGGACATTCCCGTCACTGATCAAGAAAAACATGAAAACTACATAATAGACACGCAACTGCTTACTCCACATCAAGTATACGACCCATGCAAAGGAAGCTTTCCCCTACAACAAGTATACGCCCCGTGGCACCTAAACTTTCCACAACTGCTGCAATTGCCCCGCAAGAATTCCGACGGCGCCTTCCCAGAAATGAGCACCACCATGACCCGACGCGGACAGGTGGCCAGCTCACCCGCTGAGCAGGCGCCCCAGGAATTTCCCATAATTAAAAAACGATTTGTTAGCTTTCCCAATTATCGAGCAATGCCTCAAGATGAGCCCGAATATCCTCCACCCACCGCCACAACAACAATGACGCAGCCGGGTCTCGACGAAGTCACCGAAATAGACGGAGGCGGCGGAGGATTGGGTAGCAGTGGTGGACATAAGGTGCCGCCAATGTTTGATAATGAACTCGAGGCCGAAGAGCGACCGGCGGCGGCAGAAGCATTAAACTTGAACGTGGCAAGGGAAATCGAGCATCAACAGGCGGAAAATCTTAATGACGCCTTCGGCCAGCGGCGACACGACCACAAAAACGACGACGCCATGGATGAGGCCAAAAATAAACGCGAAATATGCGAGCAAAGCAAATTAGAGAAGGCCGAAGATCATAATGAGCCAAATATGAGAGATCGCGAGCAGCAGTCAATATGTTTGGCCAGGGAGCAGACAATAGATGGGAATGGGCATCGGCATCAGCACCAAAATCAGAATCTGAATCGGAATAGCAACCACCAGCAGTACGACGGTCTCTCAGACGCCCGCGAATCGTCGCCAGAGCAAGTGGACGTGAATCTCGGTCGACTACTGACCCGCGAGCGGAATCGGAATCCGAATCCGAATCGAACCCTGCCAAATATAGAATTACTGAAAAGTTCCGTCCGCGCCTTCCTCGCCGAGAGCCCGCCGTCGCCGCGATTGCAGCTCGACTGGGATTGGGATTGGGAGCTGCTCGACCTTTTGACCGACGCAATCGAACGTATCTGTGGACAATCGGAGACGGGTAACTTTTGGAGCGAAGCGGTCGCCGGAGCGGACATGACCGTCAGTAAAGTCAGCGAGGAGCGGGAGACAGAAACGGTCGACGTTTATCCCGCCGAGCAACTCGATCAGCCGGCGGAACTGGATGACAACAACAATACTAGCAACGCAGAACAAGCTACTGAGATGAAGTACGAACTAAAGACAGCTAGTCCAGCACTGCCCAGCAGGAGTCCGCGACCAGAGTCCCCAGTCAGCAGGCTGAGCGCCACGAGTCGTATACGTAATGTGGAGCCGACTGCTTCCACCCATGCTCCTCTGCTGGGAGAAATAAAACGTAGCTCTATTAGTCGCGATAGTATCTCCATCGATGCGGATTCAGTGCTTCCAGAAAGGACACGCTTAAGACGCCAACGACGCATACGCTCTCAGGATTCTATAGAGGAGAAGCCTGAGGATGTGATAGAGCGGTTGAATAAGCTAAAGGCAAGAATTTCCGGTGCATTAAGCGAGGTAAAGGGCGTGCTGAAGCAGTACAGCACGGAAAGCGAGGCGGAATCAGCAACGGAGCAGCCCCAGTCGGCACCAAGTGGAGATACTCTTGCTCCAGTTTCCTTTCGCTTTGTGAAGAAAGTACGACGCCGCAGCTGCTTCGACGAGGCTGAAGAGGAAAAGGAACAGGCAAGAGAGGGACAGGAAAATGCCACAAAGAATATGGAAATCGTGGGGGACAAAACTGAATCCACTAAAAAAGAAACACGAGATGAGGATTTATTGAAAACTTCTCAGGACACCAAAGTGCAAAGAGAGCAGACGCCTTTCGCTAGAGATGTTTCAGAAGAACCTAAGAAACAGGAGACCCAAATCAACCATGAGCAGGACCACAATAAGATCCAGGATCCGAAAACTAATGAAAAACTTGAGACAAATGTAGAATTAAATCACAAAACTGAAGTCCAAGAACATCTTTCTGAAAAGGTTCCTAGAGATCAAGATAATCTGAATGGAAATATTATTAGTAAAACAGGAAAAGATCATAAGGAAATTAAAGAAAACGATGCTGATCAGTCAGAGAAGAAAGTTGAGAATCACGTACCAAAAATAAATGGAGCAGAACCAATTAGGCAACCTGAGAAGAGCAAAACTCAGTCCAAAATTGAGTTCCTGGCCAAGGTACAGAACGAACTGAAGTCAAAACCTGTAAAGGAAACAAGTCCCAAAATAGAAACTCCCAAAGAAGAAACTACAAAGGAATCTCCACCTCAGGAAGCAGCATCCAAAGAAGCAACTAAAAAGGAATCAAAATCTAAGGAATTGACATCTAGTGGAGCAACATCGAAGGAATTAGCTACTAAAGAACCTACAGATGTACTAGAGATCAAGCCAGAAGCCAAATCAGAATCACCTACTGCTGAAGTGGCACTGCCAGATGAGTCAGCCACATCGCAACCACAACCGAAGATCAAGAAGAAAGTCATCGTCAAGGTGAAGAACCCCAGACGCGCCTCGATCGCCGCCGTGGAACCATCCAAGATCAAGGTGGAGCCGGCCGTCGAGCAGAGCGATGCTCTCATCACTCAGCGTCGACCCTCCGACTCGGAGGCGATTGTAAAGCGCAAGAAGAAGCTGAAATTAATGGGCGACACTGCCGCAACACACACATCCACATCCCCAAGAGTAACATCATCGGCAACAAAAGATTGCGGCCATCAGAGGGAGACGGCTTCGATAGCAGAGGAGACGGCGGCCAGTGAACAATTGGCTACGCCAGAGGTCACAGCGGTGCCAGCCAAGTTGCCCAGTGCCAAAATCGGGCAAGGAGAAGCGACAAATGCAACAGCGGCGACAACTGCAACACCATCGGTAAAATCAGAAATCGATGGCGATCCGGCGATTGACAATCTAGCGCCAGCAGGCGATCGAATCAGACGCGCCAGCCTGAAACAAGCGGAGTTAGTGGGTGAGACGGTGCTGGTGGTGCCGGCAGCTACCCCAGGCCTAAGTCCATTGCCCGAGTCCAAAGAGGAGACGCAGGTGCTAGCGACGCCGCAACAGGTGGCCATCGCCGCTGACATTGCGCCGCAAATAGCAGCGACATTGAGGCACGAAGAGTCATCGCAGCCAGAGCAGCAGGCACAGCAGCCCGTAGAAGCTACAAAAGCCGGAGAACAGACGCCTCCTGGCGACAGTCTAGCCACCATGCCGGAGCTGAAAGTACTCGCGGGTCCGGTGCAGCCCGTCAAGATCGAAACAGTCGAGCAGCCTCACGATGGGGCCAAGAACCAAGAGCCACTGGTCAAGACAAAGAAGGCTACGCACCTCAAAAAGCTGGTGCGTAAGAATTCCATTGACAAGGAACCAGAAAAGCAGGAGAAGCAGGACCCCAGCAAGCTGAGCAACATACTGCGCGACAGGAACAAGATCAACGAGTTGTCCTCTAGGATCAACAAGCTCACTCCACCCAAGAAACAAGTTAAACCGAAAGAGGAGGAAAAAAAGACACCGATCGTAGAACAAGAAAAACCGAAGCCTGAGGAGGCAGTTCCTTCGGAGGAAGTTCATGTCGAAAACCAAATTGATGAGGAGATCGTAGTGGAACCTGAACCTGAACCTGAACCTGTGCCGGAGCCCAAGAAAGCCCGCAAGGTTAAAAAGAAGGTGATAATCAAGCGGCAAAAACGGCGTCTCTCAGTAGGCGACACATTCTTCCTGCAGCCGGAACCAGAGGAGCCTACGATTCCGGAAGTGGAGACTATCGAGCGGGCCATAGCATATGTGACGGATGACGAGGAGGACAAAAAAGCACCCGAGGAAGAGCCAGAAGCCATGAAAGCCCTCAAATCCTGCCTACACGTAAGGGAATACAAGATCGGAGACTTGGTGCTCTACGCGGAACGGTATCGGAAGACCCAGGTGCGCTGGAAACGCGGTCGAGTGCTGGAGCGGATCACCAGCATTTCGTATAAACTTGAGATTGAGGGAAAAGAGGTGCCCGCCCATATCAGCTACATCAAGAAGTATACCGGGCGAAAGGTGCGGTTCGGGAATAAGGAGTACCTGGAGATCGACTACGAACAGGTGGCCGAGGAGGAGCGCCGGGCAGCCAGCTACAGCATATGGAACATGGTGTAGACACCATCAAATCAGACAGCCCCACCCAGTGGTGTCCAGTGTCCAGCCATTTTTGAGTGGAATTAAAAAATTGTTCGCCATGCGAGGTAATTTTTTAAGGATCTCAACTCGACATTCAGTTATGTTATAGTGATTCGTCCTAGTCAGTGTACATAGAGTAGAGCTTAGTGTTATCCTAGTGTTTAGTGTAACTTATTCCAGGCCTTTCGTTTACATCTTAAGTACTCTGTACGTGTAATTATAAACAAGCTATTTAATGTTAAATAAAGCGGAAAATATTTCAGTTATGCGAGATCGTTTCGTTCTATTTTTGGGCCTTCCAAAGCCAATTACTCATAAAACTTTTATGAATCTGTTTATTCCGATGCTTGCCATTCGGGGATTGATGCTTCCCCTTACGATTCTTGTTGTTTTCGGGGTTATTTATAAAGACAATCTGGCGATGAATGAACAATATAGCAGAGGCCTCTGAATAGCCGGACCCTCCATGGTCAAGCAAACACATCTCAATCAGCAAACACAATAATAATTTTCCACCCACTCCATCAATGTCCGGAGCCACCCAAAAGATACCCAGATGTGGACGACAGCGAGATGCGTGCCATTAATAAAACTTTGGCGGGATTTGCCGTGCAGTGGCCTGCACTAGACATTTACGACATATAGGCATATAACATAGAAAAAGAAACTGAAACAAAAACATTCCGCCCAAGATCATCGGACATTTCTCATAATTGATTGTCAAGGCGTTCGGTTCGGCGCTTTCGGAATTCTTTGCGAGAAATCTCTCGCAATTAACAGAGATTTTAATTCACGCTGACAAAAACAACAAAGGAACTCAGAAAACACACAACACACATGCCAGCCATAAACATATCGAGCAGGGAATGAGAATGAGGCATGCCATCATATAGTAGACGCGACGCGGACCTGCGAATATGCTACATTCCTAAGGCCTCTGCCGGGATTTTCATTCAATTTTCGGGGCTGGCAACCGAGTACAATATGTACGATCAAGACATTATGTATGTCTGGTAACGAGTACACAGGAAAAATGCATAATTCAAGTAAATTGTCAAATAAATTATTGCAAAAAGGTAAACAAAAGATATAATCAGACATGGCATTTGCCGCTCCTCAATCAATCAGCATTTTTATATGAAAGTAATTAAAGTGTCTGAGGATTTCAAATTGATCAAATCAAGTGGGGAAAATAAAATTAAAATTCCAAAAACATAAGCGCGGAAACTCGACTAAAAATTGTGTAACGTAAAATAAAATTATATAAATAAGCATTCACTGTTTTCCCCCAATTTTTCCAGTGCATCTACATATTTGCACGAAAGCAATTGAAAAACAAAGCACATTTCGTTCTATATGTTCGGAATTTCGAGTTGAGCGATAGTTGGAAGCACTTATGAAGACCAAAACATCCGCAGCATCAACATCAAAGATTTCAAGTGCAGAGAAGAGTCCTCGCGTTTACACATGAAATCATATATCTCTTTCGTTCATTTTATTTTCAATTTTCCCCCGAAATGTGGTTGGGGAAGCAATATTCTTTTCCATAAATCAGAGCTGAAATCTAGCGCAGCATTAGCGTTATTAGGGACCATTGTTGGGCCCGAATGCGAATAAAATGGTCGTGGAGAGGCGATATACATATCTCAGCAAAGACCCCGTCGTCTATGAGGCGAGGAGGGGATCGACGAATAATGTGTGGCGGTATCAAACGCCGCGAATTTGTGCCAAGTTCCTTGCGCCAGTTCTGTGGTCGTGCCCGCACCCGTAAATACAATGCGATGTCCAACATCGACATGGCTGTTCGCGATCTGCAACGAGGCCGTTCGGACCGGGCCAATTACTAACAACGCAGTTGCCAAATTGTACAAATTATTGGAGCCTTCGGCTGGCGGTAATTAATCGTATCAGACCGACAGAACCGCCCATGAACTCGCATATTTCATCGCCTGCTAACCCCTATTTATTATAGTAATAAAGTGAAACGAAGAAAACACCTCTCTTATAGTAAATATTCAGTCAGGAAACGAACTTTCGTGGGCGCCACCTGAACTCTGACGAGGCCAAGTGCGTTACACCTTCTCTCGCCACCCAGAACTAAACAACAATATATTTGGCAAAGTTTATAGAAGCAGTCTACAAGTTTGTAAATCTTTAGGGCAGAGTAACCTCGAAGTTGTTTGGCACACGTTTGATTACAAAAGAAAACTATCGAACTACAAGTGACAATAATATTTTGACTATATATATAAAGTAGGTTCTATTAATATGTTACTATAGTTGCCGATCTGTAGAATAACAGACCCCTTAGAACACCAATAGGCAGACTATTAAATAGTTTTTCAATCAATCTACTGAAAGCATGCAGCTGTCAGCAAGACCATAAAGTGGATATACCCCTCACCCCACCAAATACTGGGTAACAAAAGCAAAAACAATTAAACCAAAAACCTCCGCCGCTGGCATGCTTTTGGCTTAGGTGTCACCATCGCTAATCGCCATCACCATGAGCGCCAAAGATGGCGTCACACGGCAACGCATCCCGCCGCCATCTTGCCACCGCGGAATTCTGAGGGTGTCAAGCGATACGAGAGGCGTCTGAGGAGCAGTCGTCACTAGCACCGATTGACACTTTGAAGGTGCGTCAACGATAATCGCACCTGAATTGAATCACCCAAAGGGGAGTAGCCCAAGGCCTGGCATTGCACCTTGGCATTTAGAGAGTGTGAGATTATCTCTAGCGGCTGAGACTTACGTTTCGTTTTCGTTCTTGAGTAGCGCGGTATCGAATCGCGGCTGCACATAGAACCATCCACCCATGTTCTTGTGCTCCTCCTGGGCCCATAGCAACTCCGCCTTGGGATACAGTTCCAGCTGCGTGGTGATCAGATCGTAGGGGAAGGGGCAAAGCTAGAAGATTATAGAGCAGTATGGTACATATATAACTATGACTGTAAGATTACCTGTTACCTGTTACCAACTTACCTGTTCAACCCTAACCAGGGCAACAGTTTCCACCTGCTCATGATCATCGCGCTCCTTAACGAGATCGTAGTAGATCTTTCCGGAGCAGAATACCAACTTTTTGACGCATTCCGGCTGCTTTCCGGCGGGGCCGTTGTCAGGAATAATTCGCTGAAAGCAACTACACTCGTTGAAATCCTTGAAGGGACTTCGAGCCAGCGGATGGCGGAGCAGGGACTTGGGAGAGAAGTTAATTAGCGGCTTACGGAAGCCCATTTTAACCTGCCGCCGCAGACCGTGAAAGAGATTGGCCGGGGTGGAAAAATTGGTCACGATCCAGTTGACGTTCATAAGCTGACGAGCTACGAAGTCGGCATCACAGGTGTCTGGATAGACGTCCGGATCGTCATCGCTCATCTGCAGAAAGCGTTCCATGCGACCGGAAGAGTGTTCCGGGCCCATGCCCTCCATGCTATGTGGCAGGAGAAGCACAACTCCGGATTGACGCACCCACTTGGTCTCTCCGCTGGCTATAAAAGTGTCGATGATGCACTGAGCCGTGTTGCAGAAGTCTCCGAATTGGCTTTCCCATATAACCAGGGCATGGGGACTGGCCATGGAATAGCCATGCTCGAATCCAAGAACAGCGCATTCTGACAATGAGCTGTTAGAGACGGAGTAGGGTGCCTGGTCTGGATAAAGATGGTTCAGTGCGTTGTACACCACCTTGTCGGCCGATTGGTGGTGCAGGACGTGGTGTCGGTGCGAGAAGGTACCACGTTCCACATCCTGGCCCGATAAACGAACATGGATGCCCTCCTTGAGGAGTGAACCAAACGCAAAGGCCTCGCCCAGCGACCAGTCTGCCACTTTGTCCTGCACCATCTGCTTGCGCAGGCCCAGAATGCGGTGGATGCCCCTGGTGAGGATAAAAAAATAAATATATATATACGATATTTCCATTAAGTGTTAATGATACTCACTTGTGCATTTCAAAGTTGTGTTCCGGCGGTGGAGGGCTTGAGAATATATTGCCAATCGTCTTCAGGGTATCCGTGCTAACACCGGTAGGACACAACTCCAGGCGATCGCGGCCTTCAAAGAAGCCCGGCCAGGGAGAGTCGATCCAGGATGAGTACTGGGGAAAATACCACGTGAAATGATAGACTAGTTTGGCTTCCTCGTCTTACCTTTATGGTCTTGATTTCCTTAGACTCGGCCCAGGCGTCCTCGCAGATCTTTTCGTATTTAGAAATCATTCCCTTGAACTCACTGTCCGTAACCACGCCCTCTTTAATAAGTTTTTCGGCGTAAAGCTGAAGGCAAGGTTTTAGCTTCCGGATGCGCTGGTACATCAGTGGCTGGGTAAACATGGGCTCGTCTGCCTCGTTGTGACCGTTGCGGCGATAGCCAACAATGTCGATGACCACATCCTTTTTGAACGTATTACGGTAATCGGCAGCAACGCGGGCACACTTGATGCAAGCCTCTGGATCATCGGCGTTAACGTGGAAAATCGGAGCAGACACCACCTTGGCCACGTCCGTACAGTATCGCGAAGATCGTGAAAATCGGGGATCAGTGGTGAAGCCCACTTGGTTGTTGCTCACGATGTGAATGGTGCCGAAGGTTGTGTAGTTGGGTAGATCCGACAGATGCATCGACTCATAGACCACTCCCTGGCCACTGAATGAGGCATCTCCGTGGATAATGATCGGTAGCACTTTTGAGCCGGTGGAATCGCCTCGCTGGAACATCTCCGCCCGAGCCTTGCCCAGCAGCACTGGATTAACGTGTTCCAAATGGGACGGATTCGCCACTACAGTGATGCGCACCATGCGGTTCGAATGCCGGTTAAGTCGTTCCTGGAATACACCCAGATGGTACTTAACATCCCCAGATCCAGAATCTTGGGCCATCAGGCCATGAAACTGGGACAGAATGTCGGAAATGGGTTTTCGGCAAATGTTGGCCAGAACATTAAGGCGTCCACGATGGGCCATTCCTACACAAAATTTCACATCAATACCAAAAGAGCTTTAATGACATCATACACACCTATTAAGATGGACTCCACGCCTTGGTTCGTAGCCTGGTCTACAACCTCCTTTATAGTGGGTATCATGGTGTCGCAACCCTCCAGACCGAAGCGCTTTTCAGATGAAAACTTTTTGGCCAAGAAATTCTCGAACCCCGTCGAGCGAGTCAAACGCTCCAGGATGAGCTTCTTTTCATCCTTTGTCAAGTCTAAGCCTCCAGGTTTCTCAAAACGGTCGCGAATCCAGTTAGTTTTCCTAAACGACGTGATCTGCATATACTCCACTCCAATGTGGCCGCAATAGATGCGGTCCAAGCGATCTAGGATTTCTCTGGTGGAAAAATCAAAGGAAAAATATTTTCAATTACGATTGGATTACTTCAAAACCCACTTTAATGTCAAAAACTGCTCATCTCCGCCTATCTTCGTGGAAGAGGGCAACTTAAACATGGCATTAAGATCCCCTGTGAGGATGAAAGATATATTACTATGGGTTACCATTAACCAGGAAGAACTACTCACCAAATATATAGGAGTAGTGCTGCCTGAGTACCTCCCTTGCAGCATAACGTTGAGTTCCATCTACAGACACGTGAGTTTCCTGCCCGATAATTCCTAAAGGATCCAGATCGGCTGCCAAATGACCCCTAGTTTGATAGGCCCGAATGATGGCCTGGATTACGTGGTGGTCATCGATATTCTTCCAGTCGCTAGGTGGTGCCGACGGAGCTGGGGCGCCAGATACCGTCCTTTCGCCCAATCGAGCTTTTACAGCTGTCCTTTCAACTGGAGTACGCCTATACTTACGGAAATGCGAAGCCAGAAAAGGTTGGCTTTTGGATCCAGGGATTTCGTTGTTGCTAAAGAGCTCGTCCCAGGACTAGTTTATTAATATATTATTAGTTATAAATTATATTAGAAAGTTATGTGCTTTTGAAAACTCGCCTCATCCACAGACTTGGGATTGAGCTTCCATTTGTTATAAAGGCCCTCGATGTAGGTAGCATTGCAGCCGCTGGCGAAGGAGTCCAGATCATGGGCACCGCCCAGCTGGGAGCTAGTTTGTAAGGTGCGCAGGGCAAGCCTGTCAAGGGTGCGTTGGTTAGTGCCCAGAATAGCCAGCGCCAGGTTCCTCCTTATTCGCACTAGAGCTCTCAGCCGACATTGGTTCATGTTCTTCAAGGATCTTTTAAAATACCCGGTGAATTTTGAAATTAATTTAGTGAAAGGCCTAAAGGAGTAAGTGTTTAAAGGCTGGGAGACATGTGACCTGAACAAACCTCTCAAGTCACTTATTTCACGACATGCTGGGATTCAACCTGTCAGTTTTATTTCAATGGATTAGAAGGGTTCTCATCATTCGCCTCATCGTTATCCTTGGTCTCCAAACGCTTTTTAGCACTGCTGTCCTTAAGATTATAACTTAACAATTGGAGGTCTTCGGAGGATTTTGAAACATTATAGCTTTTTGGTTTCATAGTGCTGAAGTCCTTATCTAGAGTCGGTTTTTGAAGACTTTTCAGTGATAGCTCATCCAAATATATCCATGATTTATCCTGATCCTTGGCAAAAGCTTTTTGGAGATGCTTAAGTTCGGCATTGAAAACCCTTAATGGTATGAATGTATCGTTCTTCGCCTTTTTTAAACTGGAACTATTTGACTTTTGAGGTGAATTGATATTGATATTTAAACTTGGTTTATCATCAGTTTTTGGATTAATCGTTGGTTCAGGTCTAAAAACTCTAAGCGCCGTTTGAAATTCTGCAGGCACCTTTTTTGGAGTATTTTCTAAAACGCTTGAGAAATTATTGTCCTGCTTAACAGACTCAGGATCAGGCAAATCCTCATTTAAAGTGGTGTCATCAATATCATTAATGAGTTCCCCAAGAGTCTCATATGAGTCACTCATATATTTCTCATCGCAGACTGTTCTAATATTCTCTGAAACCGAGTTATCTTGAGTCTCAGATTTCGTTAAGAGACATTCACCTTCACTTTCCAATGTATTTAATTGCATTTTATTGAAATCATATTTGTTAATATGGTTAGGCTCCTTTGATTTTGCATCTTTTGGCTTCGAAGGTAATTTGATTTCCCGATTATGTACAGTTTTAGGTACACTTTTTTGGTTTTGTTTCAGACTTTTTTCGTAATAGTTTTTGAAGAAGATCACATTTTTGGGCTTAAAAGTTGGTCGTGAACGTCTTTTTATAACCATTACAGGACTGTTTAGCTTGTTCTTTTTGGAAGCGTGCTTCCAATGTTTCAGCAACGTTTCGAAGGAGCGATATTTCCTTTGAAAACCATTGCGCCTCTTTCTTCTTGAAATAATCAGAACTTTCTTAGATTGGTTCGTCACAGTTGATTTTTCCTCATCCTTCGGTGGTTTCTTTAGTGACATTCTTCTAGTCATATTTTTTAAAAATATGTTTACTTCTTTAACAGTTAAAACAGAACTAGGGACCTTGCTTCCAATTTTGGTCCCTTTAGTTAAACTTCCTTTGCGTTTTTGAATAGAATTTGTTGGTAATATGGTAACATTCTGACAGTCGTATATTCCAGATGTCCTTATTTCCGTGGAAAGTGAAAGAACTTCCATGTCTTCCCTTTGAGGACAAACTAGACAAGAATTGCGGTAAAATTCCGAATTGCCCGAATGTTTCTCCAATGACGGAGAAGAAACTGCTGGTTCCGTCACAGGCATTGGAGCTTCAATCGTAAGGTCGGTTGGGGGGCTGTTCCCTATCTGCAATTAAATTCCATTATATAAGGTCGTAAAGTACAATTTAGGAAGGGAAAGTAAAAAGTACTTTCCTTGTCTGAACAGGATGCTCTGCGTTCAATTCGATCCCCCGTGGGTCTGTTACCGCACTTGACATTTAAGTTTGGCTCATCACAGGGATTGGAATAGAATTGCTTCACAGTGGTCATCGTCGTCTTATTTTGTTCCTCTACTATTTCTTTGAACAGTTTCTGCCATGACTTCGGAAATATCAGTTAGGGAATCATTTAAGCAAGGATATCTCACGCAACATACTCCATTTATCGAGTTATTGTCCTTGATCCATTTCGCAAACAAGCCCTCCAAGTATCTGGAATTTGAAATACTCGCAAGGACATCCGATTCAAAGATGACTGGTCCGTGTCCTCCAGGTAACTCGCTTTTTCTGCTTCCGCTACCGGTCCCGCTCAGAAGGTGGCAACGCTGCGAAGAGAGCTTCAGAAATATCCGAACGTTGATCCAAGCCATTCTGTGCACTCTATTCATATGTATATTTTGCGCTTTATGCCCAAACTAGGTTTTTGTTTATTTCTTTAGATCTTATATAAAAACTTTTAATTTTTAACTCAGCGACCTGCACATGATTTCCGTTTGCAAGTGTACTTCAAAAACGGAACCGGTACTGAACTAGACAGAAAGTTGATTTGTGTCATATATATGTATGTCGTATATATTGTATAAACAAATACAAAAAAATAATTGAGTAAAGATTTTCAATTTAAATTTATTAATTCTTATAAAGAATAAGACACACCTTGTAAAAAAAATAGAATAAATAAATATTTTTAGTTCAAGAAGAAAAACAACATACACAAACACTGTGTTGGAAAATGCTTGAGCAACCCATTTAGCCGATATCCACCTGCGGTCACACTAATCTAAGCCCACAACGATAATAAAAACGCCTGAAATTGTTTAATATTTTTTGTAAATAAGGCTGGGAGAATAGCAGGAGGCGCCACGATGAATCAGTTCCATACACCCTCTTTTGGCGATGAAGTGTTTGAGCTGAACGACACACCGGCGGAGAGTCCGAGTCCCAACCAAGCCGTAAGTGAAAGAGGGTCATCCCAATTCAATCCAATCCGGAGGACTAACTGGACAAATGTACACTGACTGCACTTCGGATTCGGATTGGCGACATTTTTCATAGCCGACCGCCCGCCTTAATTGTCGCGCATCGATGGCCGTAATGGTTTTATAATGAGCGAGAGAGATCGGAATCGCTGCGCACTCGGCTGTTGTTGTTGCTTTTGTGTGCTGGCGACCAGCTGGAGGAGTTCCCCCACCCCTCCTCTTAGGTTATCGCTTGGGCGAGCGGCCACAAACGCCGCGTCAGCTTCTTATCAGCAAACAACACGCACACACAGTCGCACAATCAGCAGCGCAGGCTACACGCACACACACTCGAATACGTATGTGCCACCGCCCCCACAACCCCTCGCTTCACCCGTCCAACTGAACTGGGCTTGGGCAAGCGATTTGTACATTAGTTTAGTTGCTTACTCTGTGATTGGGATGAAGAAGTTTCTAGTGAGCTCATTGAGATTGGGGCAGTAAATCATCGAATAACCAAATGTCCTTTGTATCTTTGTAGTCGCGGAGAATGCTTAGCCTGGATCAATCCATGTTGAACGACGATGACGAGGAAGAGTGCGACACATATGCCAGCGGAGCAGGGGGCGGCCGTCAGAGCTTGATGGCTCAGCCAGAGCAGCAGCACCAGCCAGTGACACAAGCACCACCAAAACCTCTGGCGCCCTTTGCCCTGTTCTTTCGCGACACTGTAACGGCCATCAAGCAGCAGAATCCCGCCTGTTCGCTGGAGCAGATGCAGGTTATTGTGCAGACAATGTGGGAGTCCCTGGACGAGACGCAGAAGAATGTATACAGCCAGCGCCACGAGCAGGAGAAACGCGACTACGTGCGTCTAATGCGAGACTATCGACACCAGCTGTCCGAGTCGGAGGCCACGTCGGAAGTGGAGGTTCCACAAGCTCAGCCACAAATGACAGCCGCGGTGCCGCAACCTTTAATCCCACATAAAGTTGATATTTGTGAGGAACCAGATCAGCCGCCAGCCGCTCAACAGCCGGCTCCCGAGCACATTCAACTGCTCACCGAGGCAGCCAGAGTGCAAAAATGCACCCGTGAACAGTGCAATAAACCGGCCATCATCAACCCGGACTGGGAAGACGAGTACTGCAGCAACGAGTGCGTGGTGATCCACTGCCGGAATGTCTTTAACGACTGGGTAATCTCCATGAAGTCCTAGCCCTCGTAGCCTCACCGCCAACCCTGTAGGCTTAGTCTAGATTTTAGCTGAAATGCCCCAGCAATTGCCGTTCCGTATATTGCTCGGGAATATACGTCTGAGAGGCAATGTGCTATGCAATAGTCCAAGTCTCAATTTTAATTCGTAAGAGGAGTCTGAATGAATGGCAAGACACGCTTTGTATAATACTTTAATTTTAGTAAATAATAATATTAGCCATAAATAATATATACCGGAAAACCAAATAACTATTTAGAAAGTATTCGGTATGAGGCCCAATTATTGTCTATTTTCCCAAAACCCTTTTCATGGAGGGTAGCATCTAAATATAAATAATTGCATTTAATAAATGATTTTATTTATCGAATTGTTCTTGCACTTCTTATCTTTTTCTGAATACTAAAACAGAATTTCTAGTTTCGATTTCCGATTCCAAAATGAACAAGAAAACAGCCTTTTTATATGGTAACTTTTAATAAATACACACATTTATTACTCTTGCACTTCATTCTCAATATCAATGTATCAATGCCGTTGCTTACAAAATTCACTTTCGCTTGCTTCGTTCTATATTTACCAAATAATTAAAATGTATAAATAATTTTTTAAAAATCAAATGTTAAAGACGTTTCCTTGGTTGCCTTGCTGAAGTAATGCGCCATTGTTAAGAGTACGAGTTAAATAAACAACAGTATAAAAAAGTGTTCAAGCTTAAAATATTATAGAGATGGTTTTCGAATCCATTTCTCATACATAATTACTTCCATATGTATGCTATATTGGGCGGGCTTTGACAATAAAGCGGGATAGAGAGATAAGAAGACCTTAAATGCAGCCTGCAAAGCGCATAAAGCATATAGTAGAGCATCCTTGGATCGCTAGATCGTACTTTGAGTAGAGAGTTCCGGTTATAAGCACTTGTCGCTTAGCATTAAACGTAAACATAAAGCGCACTCTAAATAATATCACCAAATACTTGTTTTCAATTTTAGTTTTTTTTTTCTGGCTCATCCGCTTTGCAATCATCAATCAATCGCTAACTTCCCTATCGCAATAAGCTAATATAGTTATACTTCGGAGTGGGTTAGGTTAAACGGCAAAAACTTGTTTCCTTTGTTGTTTGGGTTTCGGCTGTCTGGTATTGTATATCGTATTTAATTATAGCGGTTGTCTGCTGGTAGTAACATCATCTCGTTATTATCGTTATTGTATAATGGTTTCATGCGCCAACTGCAACGGCAGCTGCATGCTAGATTATTGACTAGTGTTGCCTTATGGGACGTGTACGGTTCTGGTTTCGGGTTGGCATCTGCTCAGTGGCCATATTTGATACGACCTGTATAGATAAGTGATTAGAAACGGTTACTGTATTACTTCCGTCGACATACACACCCCGGGTATTGATGCTGTTACTCTTCTATTTTCTATTATTTGATTACTCCACAATCTGCAATTCACTGATATCCAGATCGGCGCTATCCTTGCAGAAAGTGCTAGAGCGCTCTAGTTTGGACTCCACCCGCTCTTTGGGCACCCCACTCTCCAGCTGGGCATCTATAAGCAGGTCCAGTTTCTGTTTTACCGCCTGGGCCGACTTGTAGCTTCCATTCGTCAGCCCATTGGTAGTAACTTTAGTGGGGCCACCCACTCCATTGGTCGCCGCAGTAGTTTTCTTTAGATGCAGCGTATTGGGGCGCCTGGTGGGAATGCTGGAGGGCAAGCTGTTGCGCAGATTGTGCTGCTGAAGCATGCTGGACACCGCGGAATGTGAGGAGGAGCGCAAGGGGCCAGCAGACGACCGTAGTTGGACTGACCCTCGCTCTTCAACCGGAGCTTCGGTTTGCTTTTGTTGCTGTTGCTGCTGCTGAAGCTTGTTCTTCTCCGCCCGCTTGGCCAGGATCTCTCGCGATTTCGCCGAAAGGAAGCTATGGCGACCCTTATTTGGAGCTCCATCTGTGCCACCTGCCGGCACCGAAATAGAGCGCTGCTTGAACAGCTCCCGAGTGGAAAACGTTCTGCTGACGGAAGACAGACGACTGGTTGCTGACTTGGTTGTATGCACCGAACTGGGACTAGACCCGTTGGAGGCCATCGCATTGTGCTGTTGCTTTAGCTGGCGGGTAGACTTGTTGCCAACAGTGGAGCCCCTTTGAGTTGCTTTGACTTTTCCTGTCCCAACTCCTTTTCCATGGCCATTTATCTGCTGGATTCTAGCCAGCTTCGAGCTGCCCGAGAGCGACTCGTGTGAGATCGTTTTATTGGTAATCACAGAGCTCTTCATGCTCTCCGCCAGCGAGTTCTGGTCGGAGGAGTACCTGTCCTGTGGTCCCCTAGAGTTGCTCTTAGCTCGTCGTGCCGGTGATGCCAAGCTGTCCATGGAGAGATTGCTGGATTTGTTACCCAGACGGGTGCCATTCTGCACCCTGCGCGCCGCCGGACTTGAGTTCCGAGAGCTATCGCTGGAAGAGATGTGCAGGTTCTTAGCTGGGGCCTTCCTGCCACCGTTGGCTGGAATGCTTGAGCTGGTGGCACTGCGCACGGGTCCGGCACCATGGCCATTTGTAGCTAATGGAGCTGCAACCCTTGGTTTACGCGGTTCCAGGTAACGGGGTCGCACTTCGCCAAGTTTGGCAGTCACTGTGGTAGCCTTTGCTTGAGCAGTCTTAGGCTCTACTGTGGAAGCTACCACTGTAGGCTGTTTCTTGTGGGTCACTGGCGGAGCCTCCGACTGTGTGCGTCGATGAAGATTTAAGCTGTTGCGCTCGGAAGCCACCTGTGAGCTGGCCCGATGCGGAACATAGGCACGGGAGTTGGACTTCAGTAGTTTATCTGGAGAACAATAATCGTGATTAAAGCTTTAAGGAACTATTATGTAAATATATAACATACTTCCTCCCTCCCGGGACTCATGATTCGCCTGCACTCCTCGATCAGCAGTTTGCACGTGACCAGATCCACCAGTGGCGTCTTGTGTCTGGGTGGCCTTGTACAACAGTGTCTCCTGGGCATGGGCTCGCTTTGTCTGCGCTTGAATGGCCAACTTAATCTGCACAAGGTCCTGGCTCCGTGTGCTTCCGCCAAAGGAAAACGCCTTTCCCACAGGTTTGCCATTCTGACGCTTCATGTCTAGCGGTTCTGTGAGACGAGCCAGCGTTTGAATCTTCTTACGCAGCTCTAGATCCATGCGTTGCCAGGCAGTTACCCTCATGGCCCTTGAGCACTGTCGAATGAGGCACTGCTCCACGGCATAAACGAGTGCTCCGACCAGTCGAATGTACTCCGGCTGCCAATCAAGTTGCTCTTCCTGCAGACCTTGCAGTTCCCGTGCCAGCTCCGATTGGCCCAAACTGGCAGGCATGTGAATTACCTTTGCCTGCAGTACGGTATTCAAGCGGGTTACCCGCTGATAACTCCGACATGCCTGCTCCGGCGTCAACTCTGCAGCTGTGTGTAGGAGCAACGTTTCCAAGCGCGGAATGTGCCTGCTGCGGTCATGGCCCAGCGATAGGAAGGCATCGCTGGCGATCAAACTGGCAAAATGGTCACCTACATAGGCGTAAGCTGCCTCCAGTATCTCCCGCACAAGCTGCTCGCAGACGTGGCCCCAGCGATAGGCCGAAAGTTGGGCCAGCAAATGGTCGCAGTCGAGCACCGTGTCCAACACCGTTTCCGAGGTCTGCGGGCGAGAAATCAAGGAAATCCATTAACCATTTTTATAAAATTTACTCTTGCAAATACTCACCAAGTAAGCGACAATCTGTTGGCGGCATCGTCCCAATATGTCAGGGGGCAACTGAGCAAACTGCCTTGTCGGCCACACTTTCAGGTAGTGTCGACATGTCCAGCGCAGGCATTTCCTGTACAAATCGTCCAGGGCATGGTTCAAGGCCACGGGCAGAACCTGTAGGATGCCATCTGTGCAACCAGAGCAAGGTTTGTGGAAGTTGTGGCAGTAGTTCGTCTTTAGCGCATGTGAGGTAACCTCCTTAAGGCCTTCCAGTCCCAGCAAATCCGCCAAAGCGGCCAACTCCATCAAACTGATCCCATCCGGTGGATGCGATGCACCCGAATATATGTGGCACAGTGCAAAGTGCACAGCTGCATAGGAGTAACCCTGTAGGGAGACCACACTCTGTGATCCGTGGCCCGCCAGCATGGCAGCAAAGTACTGGCATCGAGAGCGCAGAATGCACTTGTGGGCGCGAATCCGCCTGCCGTGCACTTCCACTAGCATGTCCGTGGCAATCTCCTGCAGGAACATCTTGAGCAAATCCTCTCCTAATCGCCTGGGCTGCCTGCAGCTCAGCGAGGATTCATCCATTCCCGATTTACTGAAACTGGAGGCCAGACTCGAGTCCGCACTGAGATCCGTTTGGATATAGTCCACCTGCTGACCCTGAACCTGTTCCAATGTCATACCGTTGGGTAGCGAGTTGGAAAACTCCTTAGAGAAGTTGGGAAATAGACGGGACAGACTCCTAATATTGTCAACCGAATTCGTGAAGTTCTGCAGCGTGTTTCCGGTGGATCGGGTCATGGCCCAGGAGTGCGGTCGACCCCGGTTTTCATCTCTGTAGAGTCTCTGACCCAGCTGGGAGCTTCTATGGTTGTTGCCCACGCTCTTGCTCATCGAATCCGGAGACTGCAGATCATGCTTTACGGGCTTATCCATGTCAGAGAGCTTTACAAAGCTCGAAGGGATCTGAGTGGGCTGTTGCGTCGTTTGTTCTGAATGCTCATTGACCGTCTCCAGCAGTTGCTTCTGTTTTTCGATGGTGGCGTGCAGGGATTCCATCGTATGGCCATTGTTAAGGGTAACCTGCTTCTTGGGCGAGGCTGTCTCCTTAGCCTCGATGATGGTCTCCATTACGCTGCTGGTACGATTGGAGCTGCTGCTCAGCTGGAGGGGCACTGAAACCAGCTCCGCCTGCTCCTTTGCAAGCTGTTCGTCCTGTTGGAAGGTGAGATCATCGGTGTCTGTATTGGAAGCGGGCGACATGTCCTTGGAGAGAATGCCCTCCGTAACTGAGGCCAAACTGGATTTGTCATAGGTCTCGTTCAGTTGAACATCCCTTCGCCTCTTCTTGATCCTTCCCTGGATTTGACCTTGTTCTTCCTCCGAACAGCTGCTTAAGCCGGGATTGGAGCCACTGAAATCATCGTAGGGTGATACAGAGCTATCTATGGACAGGGAGGATGCCTTGGATATAATGGGAAGCTTGTCAATGATGCTCATTAGACCAGCTCCCGAATCCGTTCCGCCATTGGCAGTAAGGCTAATGGAACGCTTGCAATCGTGACCTGATCCCGATCCGGATGCCTGCTCCGGTTTGCCGTTGCTGCCCCAGCTGTGACGCTTCGAGGGATCGTTTTGTTGGCGATGCTGCTGCGAAAGACGACGCAGTGCAGCCACTGTTAGCGGAGGCTCCAAGTTGCATCTGTAGTCCAGAGATTTACTCTCCCCAGTAACTACTGACATATCCTTCTGATTAACACTTTTGGCCATCAGAGTCTCGGTGGAACTGGCGCTGGATTTCATCACCTCGGTGTCTCCCCTTCTCGAAGCCGAAGAGCTCAAAGAGCTGGACAGCCTCTGAGCCAGACTCAAGGGTTCCTTCCTGCCATTGGAGCGCGGTGTCTTTTGCTCCCCGAAATCAATGAACATACTGAATATATTCTTAGGTTCTGGTTTGGGTTCCTCCCTAGCTTCAGTCAACTCCTGATCCTTAGGCGCCTGTTCCTCATCCTTAACGGTCTGTGAAAGATCCACGAAGAATCCAGCTGACTTGGGTGCTGTGTAGGATTTGCTTAATTGCGATGAAGGAGCTGCTGTATTTGGCTTTGGCTGCTCTTGCGGCTTCCTGTCCATGTCATCCAAGGAAACGTAGAAGCCACATCCGCTCTTGTGCGAGCTGTTCGAATCGGAACGCTCGCGGAAACTGGAAGTGGTGCTGCTGGTGCTCCTCCTCCTCTCAGGTCGGCAGTCACTCATGTCCACCACCCAGGAGGCAATACCGGGAACGGGCTTTCTCTGTAGACCTGACTTTACCCGCATTTCCACGCCAGCTATCTCTGCATCTTCGGCCAGGTCTTCATCATCCTCATCTGCCAGCGGGCGAGTGGGTGCAAAGTCCAAGGACACGAATCCTCCCGAAACAATCGGGCAGGTGTCTGTGCGTCTTTTGATGCTGGGACTCTCGCACTGCTTCTCCCGGAAATCCTCTATGGAGGCTCCGCCAGAAACAATGGGGTTGGCCTCATCGAACTTCGAACTTCTCTTGGGGGTGCGGGGCAGGGGCAGCGGCGAGTCTGTGGCATCACTGCAGTACGCACCGGAATCCCTGTGATGCGAGAGAGAGGAAGATAGAGTGTAGTCCCTGTGAATGGAGGAGTTGTTGCTCCCGGCCGACGCGGGTTCAATGTGCACCATCGAGTTGTGGGGCGTGGAGGCGGAGGCGCTCTGGTGATTCCTGCCTTGCTCTGACCACACTAAGCTTGGAGCCGGACTACTGGAGGAGTAGTCTGTGGTGTAGCTGAGATCGGGATGCTGCTGACTCTGGTTGTGCTGATGCTGGTGGTGGGTGAACTTAGGGCTGCTACCCAGAGGATGCACGCTAAAGTGCTGAGCGTTGTGCTGGAAGCTGTAGGGCACAGACATCGGAGCAGGTCGATCCTCCACTAGCTCATCCGGTGGATCTTCTGCTTCTGGCTCCCTCTGCTGTTGATGTGTGATTCTGACGCCTTTGCACTTGGCAAATGACTTGTGAAACTGCTCCAGTTGTTGTGTTGGAGAGGGCTCTGTCTCCTCCTCTGCAGTCACCTCTTGTCCGACTTCCTCCTCATGGCCGTGACCATCTAGGCTGGGAAAGGAAAGCACCTCATCATCGTCTCTCAAAGATGAGGCGTCTATGAAGCAGGCACTGGTTCCCGAGGTGGACAACGGCTGGTCACGCTTCTCCAGATCCCGCAGCAAAGTGCTGGCGCTGATGCCCTTGAAAACTGAACTAGTTTCCGTGTCCTCTTGTTGTTCGAGGGGAGCAACGTTCGCTGCGGGATACATGGATTCCCATGAGCCAGTTTCTGTGGACACCGTCGAAGTCTCCATGCACACAATCTCCTCGTTCTGGCGCTGCTTCTCCTCCTTGGAGGGTGGCTTCACCTTGCTTCCTCCCTCGTAAATCTTGTTGTCCACAGAGCCACTAGAAGAGGGCAGGACATCTACGGCGGCTGCTCCGTTGCAATCCGGACTAGAGATCGGTGAGAAGGTATCCCTCTCCTCGCCCAAGTCTAGCTCGCAGGTTTTGGCCGATCCTGATCCTGAGCGCGATCCAGAGGCAGATCCTCGCAGCTGTTGTTGTGGATGCAGAGCAACCGCCCTGATATCCGCACTGTACTGGGGTGCCGAGGACGAGGAAGACGAGGAGGAGCAAGCGGAAGGACTGCTGGCACTGCTGCCGCTGCTGCTGCTGTTCGTGAGATTCGAGTAGTTCGAGTGGTTGGGCGAACTGGCGTCCACCTGCTGGTCCAATGACCTCCCGGTGGCCAAGATGGGAGCCTGTTCCGGCGACAGGGGCGATGCATCCATTGCGGGACGGAGTTCGGAGGGGTTATTTGGGTAAGAGGGTGGAGTGGAGTGGAAGTGAGGGGCACTCAACTCATCGACGCTTTTCCGGTCTAAACCTAACCGCTTGGTTATGCTTCGCTGCCTGAATGCCAAGTGGTTCCTCGACTCCTCCACCTTCGAATCCCCCCTTTATTTTTGCACTTTTAGCTTTTTTTATGGTTGTTGCTTTTGTCTAGGGCCACATGCTGATGGCCCGGCCTCCCGCGCCTCCCGCTGCAGCTGCCAACTGTCAACGGTTGCCAACAAAAATAGTCGACAAGCGAAATTGCGAAATCGATACTTGAGAGTGGGGCGGCGAGATTCTGATTCCGGCTATTCGCACTGCTTTTTTTCTCTTAAGGAGTAGAGGTAATCCTTTTCTCTTAAGGTTTTCTTCAGTTTTCTCTCTCTCTCTCTCTCTACACTGCTTGCTTTTATCTATTTCTCCTTTTACTACTACTTATTTATTTCCTTCTTAGTCACTATTACTCCTGATAACGGAGTTAAATCCTTCTTCACTTCAATAACTTGAAACCCTTTCTTTGAGTTTAAAACTTGAACTCCTTGGTCCTCTTTCTCAGAAAGATGATCTCTCTTGAGCACTCTCTCCTTGCTTTGAAAGAGTACACTTTTACTTCTACTCCCCTGCGTTGGATATGCTAATAAGACAGCTGCTGCTATCTCACTCTCGCTTGCAGTTCGTTATTCGTAGATTTATTCGTTTTCCCTTTTTTACATGCACCGCTATTATTGTTATTTCGTTTGTTTGTGTTTTCCGCTGCGTCTGCTTTAAGTTCACACTGCTGCTGCTGCTTCTTCTTCTTTGGCTTCTGCTTGATTTATCGCCAATTGTGCCAATTGTTGAGACTTTACTGCTGCTGCTTTGTTGTTGTTATTGTTGCACAATTAAACTGCAAGAAAATAAAGAAGAAGAAAACATGAATTACTTCACACGGGACCAGAGGCACAACTACAACTTCATATTTATATAAACAAATACACAGCACACAAAAATTACTACATTCGTTTAGCTTTTTTGCAAACTGCTTAATAACTGCTTAAATGCTTTAAACTTTTTATCATTTTCGTGTTGGCAATTATTTAAAACTTAAGTCTCATTAGGCAATGCGTTGACGCATCCGAACAGGAAATGAATAACTCGATGATAAATATCTGATTAAGTTAATCAGCAATGACAAGAACAGATTGCAGCCATATCAAAGGGCGATTATACGTTTTTAATCAAATGTAATTGAATTTATCAAAGTTAATCCACAGGTTATTCATTACATTTTATTCATACTTATTGGTTTGGAATGTTATTTATATAATTCATCATTATATTTATCGGAGTCGTAATTTAATTCTCATTAATAATTAACACATATCTGCCTAAATTCAATAGCATGTTGGGATATTAATAATAAAAAGTAAATACAATTAAATACAGCCCCGACTGACGTCAACGAGTCGCACCTGCCGGAATCAGTACCGAAATGAGCAGGCAGCTCCCAGCATTACCCCATTGGATAGAAAGGTGGCACCTCCCAATCTGCCCGCCAGCAGAGCCACCCACAAACCGCAGGCCGCAGTAACAAAAGCTTGACCCTCGGCTTTGTTGCTTCCTTTTCTGCTTTTCAGTTACCCAGCAAACATATAGAATTTCAATTTCCATTCCAATTTGTTATCTCGGAAGCAAGTGCAAGCACAAAGCGTTGGCGCTGCGTTTGAAATTCAATATAGGGAAATAATAGTAATGGCATGGATTAGTCGGCTAACACGCCAACCTCAGAAGGCTTTCGCTGTTTGCTCTGCTCGGGAAAATGCCTTGGGCATTTCAGCGAACTTACGCGCAAACAATGAATATATTAAAGATGTTTGCCCAGCCAATATTTACGCAGTTCACCGAGAGTTGACAGAAAGGTAAAGTTTATTTGTTAAAAATAAAACACGCTTCATTTGACACCTTGGCAAAGCTTTACGCACTCGAAGCATGGGAAAGTGCTTTAAATGTAGAATCTGTATCTACTTTTTAGCAAGCACTGGAATGAGCCTGGCAACTTATACAACCTTCTTATGACACTTTCAAATAATCGAAAAGAAGAATGCAATTTTATTGTAAACAAGGAAAATCTCTTAGGCACGAACAAACGGCATTCTATCTATAAGTTTAATTTGCATACAAAGAGCCGAGCTGTACGTACAATCAGCAGCAGCACAACAAATCGCTGAACATGAAAATTAATAAGCTCCGTACTCTATCAAGTGGTTAATCATGCAAATCGTGTGCAAGTCCGTCTGTCTGGAAAGCCAACAAAGAGTCTTGGCTGGCGTAGATGTAGTAAATCAATCAGCTGGCAAATATCGATCGATACACTTCGCCAGATCGTATCTTAATAATACTCCAAGTTGTAACCGTCGCAGTTGGGCTCAGACAAAGACACTAACTGGCGGTCGTTCAACCTTGTGAACCGAAAACAAAGGCCACAGATCGCAGATACTGGGATTGGAAACTTCGCGTCCAACAGTTGCAAGTATCAAGCAGACAAATTTCCTTGGCAATTATGTAATTTATGAGGCAAGGAGACAGGGAAAACGGAAAAATAAAAACAAATTCACTTGCAACTCGACAATTGAACGTTCTGTGCCCAGGTATGACTTCACTTTGTTCTCAGCATTCATGTGGCTGAGTTACAGACCCCTCGATCCATGCATCAAATTCCATATACGGCAAAAGTTGGTTTACTTAATATTCTACACGAAATTCATGTAATTAAATAGTTAATAGTACACTTAAAGCACTAAACGATAGTCATTGGAGTATGACTTTTAAATCATAGCTTTTATGGCGGAAATCCACCGACTATTTTCTTTATGGCCAACCATTCATATCAAGTGTAAAACTATAACTAAGACCAATAAAATCGTTTACGATTCAACTTCCAATAATAAGCATACCTAAATTTAGAACCAATCGTTTAAGGAATGTGTTTATGGAGATGCAATGCCCAAGGTATTCCAATGTAACCATCCCCTTGTAAACTATCGAGAACCGCCCACATCGTGCTCAATGAACCCGACATTACTTAACACCGCCGAATACTCACTTTCCTATATACGATATAAATATGAATATGAATATAAAACCCATTTATCGCAGGCAGATACCAAACAAAGGTCGGGCATGAGTAATCCCCAGTGGCCAAGGCTTAGAACAACGCCACCAGTTACTAGACAGACGGACCAAGTCCAAACAAGATCCACATACATACACTCGTAAACTGTCGATAAAGTCTATAAAATGATCAAGCAATCAAGACGGTGCTGGCTGATTTGAATCTGTTGCCAAATATGGGCGAAACAAGTTGACGATGACGACGACGACGACGTTTGATGACGACCCAAAGCCAACGCCAATAGCCAATAGCCAATATGAGCATGTAAATTCATAGGTTGCTCAAGAGGGGCTTACTTGTTTATGTTCGCTGGTAGTATAGGAAATTGTTAATAAACAAACGCAAAGGACGTGTGGGCAGCAGCTCTGGAGTTTAGAGTACAAGCACGAGAAGAACGTCAGAGATTCGAGATTTAATTGGCACCTGGGGCTAAGAACATGTGGGGCTAGCTTCGGGGAACATGTTCACAAGCGAAAGTGGGGAGGTGCGATATTGAAAGGTTACTTAAAGGGATACAAGTATCCCTAGTATATGGTTAACTTATATTAGTGATAAGAGTATTATCCGTTTTGACTTAACTTGTTACTTGTTAGATGAGCTCATATACGCTGTAAGCCTTTCAATTTAGCTAACTTTAGTCTATTCAATTCATTTTCTATAAGCCAGAGACCACAAAAGGCCAGAATTCATTATTTTATAGAACCAAAACCTATTTTCCTAATAAAATATTCTTTTCTGTTTTGTTTTTAGTTTATTTATTAGAAAACAAAGCCGCAGAGAGTGTGCTGTGAATGCCAATGGCTCTGGCTTTGACTCCACTCCCAACCACCACCACCGCACGGAGATCCAACCACCCGAAACCAGTCGCCGCACCACTCGAGTGGATCGGACCCCGATGGGAGAGATACCAGAGATAGATAGAGCCAAGTGACAAACGATAAGTTTATAAAGGGGAATACATTGTTGCCAGCAAAGCGCTTTGATAGAAAATATAAAAATAATAAAGCGAAAAATAAAAAGAAAGGAATAATAATCATAATGGCCTGTATTTATGGGAGGCAAAGCGTTTTGCTGGGCGGGTCTCAAGTGGGGGGTTCGTCGATCGCGCGATGATTTGCAAATCGATGGAGCTATCCGCCGTACAAGCCAATAATGAAAACAACGAGTCTCCAAGCACTCACAAATTGCTGGGCCAATTGTTCGCCAAATGATGAGCCTGCGGCATGTGTGCCGTCGCCTAGAGATGGGAGTCACTGATTCCAATTCAAATCAAGTTTGCATAATATCGCAATCAAAAATCAATCAATATTCGAAGACATTAATCGGTAACTATATACGAGGTAAGGCTGAGATTAAGCTTCGACATTAATTTGTAACGAAATACTGGGGGAAAAGCGGTTTAAGATCAATCATTTACAGAGGCACAGAAATTAAAACGGACTTTCATTATTAATTCCCCATCCACTCAACCATTAAATAACCAAATAAAATATTACAAAGCCGCTGATTACTAACTAAGATAAATATAATGTCACATGGCATTAATCGAAAACCAATACATCAGATTAAAACTTTCGTTGGTAACCAAGCACTCATGACTAAGTAATCTTTAATACTAGTTTCATTAGAGCATTAAAGGAATCTTTAATCGAAAGCAACCAAAGGACCATTACCCGCTACACTCCATAACCTGCCAAAGACCTTGATTGAAAGGGCCATAAAAGCCAAGGTGTTTGCCTCGGAAAGGATTACCGCTCGTCACGCTAACATCTCTAGCCGCAAAAACAATGCGTTGTCGATTCAGCGGCGTTCGGGCCAATTATGTGCGCCATGCATGGACAACCGTTGGCTGTTTTTTGTTTTTTGATGAGCGGAAAATAAAATAGAAACACAATTTAAACCTTGCGTGCGAGTGGAAGGAAGCCAGAAGGGAAAACCAACCATAGAATTCACTTTCGTCTGCGGCCCAGAAACCAACAAACCGAATTGAGGCGTTGTCCGACTCTCTGGCCAGTGGCCACGAATGTTTTATGGGTGGTTTGTGGGTGCCTGGGTGGCTGGTTGCTTAGTTGGCCACTATCCACTGGCAACCACTGACAACCACTACATGTGGGTCTTCATTCAGGCAACCCAACCAACAGCCAACTACTTAGTGCACTTAGCCGGGCCAAAAGGCAACAGCTATGAAAAGCGGTTGCGAGGTCAGTAATGGCAGTGATTTAAAAGCCAACCTCCTTTGTCTGAAATGCACAGTGAACTTATTTTGGGGAAATAGTAAGAAATATATCTTTAAGAGAAAGCCAAGATGCATTCTCATTTTTCCCAGTGCACCTCCCACTGTTTGGGTGCTTTGAAGGACACTACACGCCATTACCACTGATCTCTATCGGGCACCAAAAGCCAAAGCAAACTCATTACAAGCAAACTTGCCGAAGGGAGTGGAGTTTTATACTCGAAGGGAGGGACAACAAAGGGGAAGTGATGACCCTGACTTGGAAACAAGACTGCAAGCGAACGTGATAATAAATCAAATTTTAAATTAGCATCAACGCGGGCTGAGGTAGCCGGTGATTTCTTGATTTTTCGGTGATTTGATGGTTTGATGACTTCAGCCAAACGATCGGCCATTAAACACACAAACAAAGTGCAATTACAGTGTACTTTTAGTGGCGCCTGGGCAGTGCAACGTTAATTAGCAGACTCGGCCTGGCATTGACTTGAGTTGAGCCTGACCT